TGGTCAATCATCAACTATAGTGTGATTAAAGAGGAAATCAGGCATATTAATAATAATGGGATTTTCCCCCAAAAGATATCGCAGAGTTATTTAACAATTATTTCGTAAGTGGAAATGACAGTAATCTAAGAACAATTAATGTTAACTGCAAAGTACCTAATACTTATAACTCATTTTTTATGAACCCAACGACTCCTTTCGGAATTAATAATATAATTAATTCATTAAAGAATACAAATAGTACAGGTTATGATGACGTTATCACAAAGGTATTAAAAAGTGTATCAACCATCATCTCACCAGTTTTATCCTACATCGTAAATTTAAGTATAGCCTCTGGAATATTTCCAAATAAATTAAAAAAAGTAGTTCAACCTGTATTTAAGAAAAATGATAAGAGTGATGTTGCAAATTATAGACTCTTACCGATATTCTCTAAAAATTTCTGAAAAGGTAATAAATAAGTCAAAACCTTAATGATTTCTTTGAAAAATATAAAATCTTCACAGAGAAATAAGTCGGATTTCGGAAAAATAAAAGTATAAATTTAGCTGTCTTTCAATTTCTACGTACTGTAATGTCAAGCCTTAATAATAAGCACTTAGTATCTGCTCTATATATGGATTTAACTAAAGCTTTTGACTATGTTAATCACAGTATCCTCTTAAGTAAATTAGAAGCGTACGGGATCCGAGGAAATATCCCTAATCTCCTAAAAACTTACCTAATAAATCGGAAACAATGTACACAAATTACACGCATATGCTCAAAAACGTATAGACAAATAGTACATTCATCGTCATATCGTGAAGTAACTCAAGGAGTACCCCAGGGAAGTATTCTCGGTCCATTATTATTCCTTGTTTATATAAACGATTTACCAAATTATACAAATAAAGATATGGTATTATATGCAGACGATAGTACAGTGATGTTTACAAGCACAAGCAAAAATAAAATGATATCTGACATAAATCAATCACTAGACATTATAATTCAATGGTCATCAAATAATAATTTATTAATTAATCTAAATAAAACAAATTTAATGACAAACAAATTAATGTAGTCGAAAATGCAAAATTTTTAGACCTCAATCTCGATTCAAACTTAAAATGGAAATCTCAAGCAGAAGATATTTGTACTACTCTAAACCAGTTCTCTTATGCACTGCATAGACTTGGAACAATTGTGAATCAATCTGCGGTCATCACATGGTTATGTAGAATCAGTGTTAAGGTATGGTGTCATCTTTTGGGGTAACTCTGTAGACAATGATATGATATTTAGAGCCCAAAAGAGATGTGTAAGGGCCATTATGAAGTTAAAACAGACGGATAATTGTAAATCATTTTTTATTAGTCCGAAACTGTTAACACTTCCATGTCTTTATATATATGAGGTAGCCGTCTTTGATATTACGCATATTTCTTTATTTGAGTGCCTACACAGTAAACGTAATAATCATAAAATATGTTTTCCATCAAACAAAACAGCCCAATTTAACAATAGCATATTTTGTATGGCCCCTCGAATTTATAACCATTTACCATTACACATTTTGAGATGTTCCAACATAGATAATTTTAAAATACTATTGAAGCAATTTCTCGTTAATAGGGCATAATATAGTGTGAAAGAATATCTCGAAGATAAATATGAAATTCAATAATTGACTAATACGTGTCTCAGTATAACTAAATTGACTTGACTTATATAATATTATCTAAATTGACATATCGCTATTAATTTTGATTTTGAACTCCAACTATAACTAAAGCATGTTTAAATAATTTAATATAAAACTAATAAAATGTGATGAATATTGCATGCCAAATGGCGAATTACAATTAATGATCCCCAATTTACCTAACTTTGTAACAGATGTGAAACAGCTTCTCCAATACGTTACAGAAAATAATTTAAAAATATATACCCAAACATTTATGTACATCGTCATTTAACAATACCGATCAGTACAGCCTCCGCTGAAGGAAGCTTCTTAAAATTAAAGCTCATTAAAAGTTATCTCAAGAATGCAATGTCACAGAAAAGACTTTCAGCGTTGAAAGTTTTATCTATCGAGGCTGATATAACATCCAAGCTATATTATAAGGCTATAATTAAACAATTCAGCAGGATAAAAAGCAGAATATCTATTTCCTCATTTTTCGTTGAAATTGTTTGGTGTTGGTACTTAACGATTTTGTTTAAATAAAAATTTCATAATGTCAAGTGTTTTGTTTTTCATTTTACATAATCCGTGTTCTTGCGTGGGCAGAGGGCCTCGCAAAATGTATCTTGCCCACATAAAATTTAGGTCTTGCCCCGCCACTGTATGCAATGCCATAAGAATCAAATCAGAAATGTCACCCAAAGTTACTTGTTACCAAAATGTAGCTTATGTATGTGTGTGATAATGTAGCATGCGTTAATATTCTGCCTGTAGCGAAATTTCACTTCGTATATTATTTATGTCTTCATCCCATTCTAACCTGCAGGTGTTTTAAAGTACGAGGAGTACTGAGCTGAGCTACGCGAACAGAATTATTACAAAAGACCGAAAACTCAAACGAAACCCTATGCCTCACCAACCCGTCTGGCTTATAGTAAGATAGGCGTGTAGGCGTACCAGAAGTGGAATATGAATAGACCGTGAAGATATTCAACAAAAAATGCCTATAAAACATGCCCGGCTTAATAAATTTTCTGAAAATCTTGTACTTTATGTATTATATGACATAATATGTAGTGTCTTTCATATTGGCACATTTTATTTAACGTTCATTTTGATCGATATCGATAAATTATGACGCTACAACAATATTATTGCACACATTGACAATCTACACACACAAAGACAATCAGTTTTTAGTCTCGTACTCTCGTTTGTTGGCGTAGACAGAGAAACCTATAGACTAATGATTAGCGTGGCCTCGAGTGAGAAAGGACGATAACGTAGTTTTAGGTTATACAATAATCTTTATGACTTTTAAACATATTTAGATAAAAAAATTTAATTGTTCTAAGAACTGAACTGAACATGATTCACCAATCTCCAATTCACATTTTTTTTCTCACTTAAACCAACTTGTAAACTCCTTAGATCGCTACAAACTGTCAAAGTTGTTTAGCAAAGTGTAGTTTGCTAAACAAAAAAACCGGCACGGTGAAAGGGATAAACAATCACACCGCTCTGTCTCATTTCTACGCAAAACGTATGCATAAATCGTTTTCGTGTGCGAATGCGAAAGAAGGCGTCAATTTGTCTTTAGGTTTCTCTGTCCACGTTTGTTGGTTGCGTAAACAGAGAATGGTTGGTTTAGTCGCCAATCTATGGAGTTTATACTAATTTTATGGCCTCAAATTACACTGTGTATTACCAGTCAGTATAAGTATTACCAGCATTACCATGAAGGTTAGAGAACAGGAGAACGATCACTACGTACTAAGGCATAGCCCGCCTGCCATAGAAAATTGTAGAATTTATAGCGACGCTGACGTCGGTGAGTAGTGACTGCGAAGTTAGCTGTTTATGAGTACAAGTAAATGAAGTTAGTTGAATAATGTACAAATTTTCTCCGCGGCATTGGTGAGAAAATTTTCATGCTCCGTAATTTTGTAATTTTTGACAAAAAGAAACATTAAAAAATGGAGAAATATTTTATTGTGCCTGGATGTGCAAGTGGTTTAGCTATGAAAAAATTTTTATTCGAACTTAGCGATCGCAGCGCCTCACTTATGGTGTCCATATTTCTGGGACACTATTTTCTACGGCGATCGTTCTGCTGTTCTCTAACCTTCATGAGTATTACGAACCGGATTAATTATTAAAATCTTTTTATGAAGATTTTTGGGTTGAACGCTTGTCCTTTAGCCACGAAGCCATGTCATCATTTCATTCGGGATCTTAGCTTTTATAGTTTCTTTCTTTACATAATTCTGATGCGGCACATTACGAAGTTTTTGGGAGATTTTGTTGATAGCTCAAGCCAGCAGACTAGCTAACGTGCCTAAACGATCAAAATAACTTGAAGCTTATATCAACATCGAAGCACTTGTTTCGTAGGTTTCTCTATTAGTTTACATGCGGAGACACCTAATACACAAAATCACATTTTCGTATCAAAATCCACTTCAAGCCCTTATTCGAACGATAAAGCAAGAGCAACATTCCATTTACGGTCAAGTTAACGCCAAAACCCATCAATATCTTACCTTAGTTAGTCTATGACTTACTAAATAGAGGTTTCTATGGGATAGAAAAACGTGAAAACCTTGTATAAGAATGAAAGTAAGATAAATATAGCTATCTTATTTTTTACCACGTAAAACGTCATATGCTAAAATAATTCAACTACAAGAATTTTGTTTTTGTTTTAGGATTTTCTCTGTACTAGTACTCTCAGAATAAATACCAAATACTTGCTAAAATTTTAGAGCAATAACTTTATTGTTCTAAAGACGTAGAGTGCTTATTTGTCGCAGTTATTCACAACATGACACAACTTCGGAGCAAACCTTAATGTTATATGACTTGTATGACTCAACCTCAATCAGTTCAAGGAAGTTTTCGACGAAAACTCGACCGCCGTCGGTTTTCCGCTCCTCTTTTATCGTTTAAGTAATTTTAAAGTTTAAGTTTGTAAGTGGATTTAAAATACTTTCGTCATCAGCTGTCCGCTGGGTAAGCTGTTGCCTAAATCTTACCAAAACTTTGTAATGTGACACATCAACTACTTGTGAAAAATGTGTTAAGAACCAAATATAAGTCAGGCTAGGCTGTATGGTCCAATACCTTTACCTACATTAATTGAAAACAACTGGTAACACAACACAACAACATCAATCAGTTCAATTTTCAAAATATAACGGTAGAAACTAGAAACACCGGTCAGTTGAGAAGGCAAAAGAAGAAGAACAAAACTAAATATCTCTTTGGATAAAAAATAAACAAAGTTTACCATGAAAATACATTAAAGATTAAATACGGGAGAAACATGGAACCGTCGAAGGAAGCGATTGCAGTTCGCATCACACGACTAAATCGTCAGATAATAGGAAAAGTTACTAGTGGTTTAAATAAATTGAACAAAAAGATAGACCGTGAAACTTTGTTAGATGCTCTAACAGTATTGTACGATGAGTGCAATGATGATCCAGTTAAGAAATGTGATGAACTCGTACGAGCCTTTGTGGATAAATGTACGTTCTTATTTTTTAAACATATGGATTTTGACCTGTCAAATTCCTAACATGAGCATCTCTCCCAAAAAGCTCTCTTTTTATCATAATATGTTGTAAATATGTCAGATTTAATATACCTTTTGATTAGTTGCTACTAAAAAATTTTTTAGTTGGATGGAACGTTTGGATTCATGGCTAAAGTTTTTATAATAATTTCTTCCCGACCGAATTCCGATCACGTTGGCCTGTCTCATTGGAGATTAGCCATCGGCGCAGGACAGGATTATAGTGCCCAAATGTATGTACAAGCACAGGTGCACTCTGTTCCCTCTGTCATAATCCAATGGGACGGTAAACTGACACGACCGGAGAGAGATCAGGCGCAGGACCAATGGATTTAAGTTCTTTCTGAGGCATGGGGGTGAGATACCTCCAACTTCGTGACTCCAGGCAGCTACTGAGAATTTCTTGATAGAAAACAGTTATTGATTTTTTGGTCTGACTCAGGATTCGAACTCAGGACCTCATGATCAGCAGTCGCACTACGACAACCACTAGACCAACAAGGCAGTTAAAGTTTCTATAATACTGTTTCAGTTAGTACTGTAAATAGCCATAAGAAAAATTACTTGAATTATGTGATTTACCATTAGCAAAATATTTCCAAACTCGATAGATCTCTTGACCAAATAGTTGTAGTACTATAGAAATAATAATAAAATATAAATATACCAATATAGTCTTGATATAGGAAGTAGTGCCATAATTGTGATCCTTTGATATTGCAATCTGCCTTTCCAATTTTTTTTATATAATAAGGGTGATAAATGATCACTCAGTCCACCTGATGGTAAGTGGATGTTGTGGCCCGTAGACATCTGCCTTTATCCTCAATTAAGAATCAAAACGCAGATGCATTGCCATCCCTGAGGACTAAGATGGAAGGCCTCGTTTCCAGTGAAAACTCACCATACAAAATACTGCAGTATTAAGCTGCTATTTTAGGATGGTATTCTGTGAGAGTGTGGTACTTCTTTAGTTAAGCTTACCCATTTTTGCTACAACCATATTAAAGCTGCTGTGTGGCTCTACCACATATAGTAATTACCAAATATGTACAATGGTACAAATATTATAGTCTTACTATTGGAGGGACACATATCTAACAACAGTGATGAGCTGTGATGTATACTAATGGCTTCTATGATTGGTATTAAAGTATTTAAATACTGTTAGAATATACTATAGACATATTATAATGGTATAAATGCAATCATGTATACAGATCAATGACTCAACTGAACCATTCTGTATATGTTTTACTTTTTTTGAAATTGAATTGAAAAGTTACGTTTTGTTTTCGTACTTTTTAGATATGTTCAATTTTAAGTTTTAAATAATTTTTTTTATTTATTTATATAGGTAAATAATGCTTTATGTCCTTTTTTAAACAATTAATGTCTTCTAGTAAAAATATAAATTTTAAACTAACAAGTCTACATTTGGATATGTTTATTATATTAACACTAGATTATACCAACAAAAAGATTGTGTAATATTGCAAACTAAAAAGTTTTATTCAAATCTTTTTATAATATCTTTCATAGCTTATTAGATACATGGATCTTTCTCGCAGTAGAGGAATTAGCTTTTGTGAAATGCTCATGCCCCTCTATGCCCCTGCATATTGCAGGTGGATTGGCAATAATAGTTTCATATGCCTTACTCTTTTCCCTGTCACTGGTCTGGAAGGTTTAATCTAACATCTACTTTTGTGTATAATGTTCAGTGTACTCTAGTGCTGCCACAACTATGTTGAAAGTGCAATATCCTGGAATAAGGAAGTTAGCAGTGTTTCACTCCCATTTGGTCTTGCACCTGATCACCTGACCAGAGAGAGATCATATCAGAATGCCATTCCATGGGATTGTGAGTTGGGAAAATAGAGACAGTAATCTGTGTTTGTGTAGGCATGGACTATATTCAGTCTGGAAGATGTTATTTTTACACTAATAATTCATAAATATACTATACTATTATTCCTAGTGTAGTAGTGTCCACCATTAGTAGTCCAGGTTGTTATTACTAGTATAAGCTATAAAGTTAATAGCTGCATATAATATTACGAAATTGTTACCATGATATCATGTGGATCATTACAATACTGATGCACAGGTCTCCTAGTTCGGCTGCAGATTCTATGTTTTCAGGTATATGTACCAATGTAGCTTTATTAAATGTTAAGCAAATATCTTGATGTACAACCTTTTGGAAATAAAGAACTTATTATTATTATTATTATACTAATTTCATAGTGCATCATTTACAAAAGTAATGACTTAACTTCTATATATTATAAATAAAGATAAAGACTACTCTAAAATTCTTTCTATATTCCAGATCGCAGTACATTGGCGGAGTTACGTTGCGCCCGCGTTTGTTATTCTGATTTTGAAATACTGCAAACTATTGGAAGGGGTCATTTTGGTGAAGTTCATGTAAGAATTGATTGTGTTATTTTTTTAATTATGATATGCCAGTGCTTGACTATTATCTTATGTCACCAATTACCTTCAGGTGATGGTAAATGGTGATGTAGCCAAAGATGGTAAAATGTACTGACTTAGCTGAAAAAAAACCTTATTCACTCTCTTACCTTAAAGGTATCCACAATTGTAATCAGATAGAACAACAGATGCTGGCAAATTATCACATTCCTCAGTTTTTTTTTTGCCCCAGAAGGAATTGCATTCTTTTTTATGACCTCCATTGGTTAGATTTTGCAAATGGTTAGTTTTAGGGCCAAAACTGTTTCACATATATTTTTGGTGCTTACCTGTTTGATGTTATTAGTAAGTGTTTGACAGGTTAATTTCATTGAAAACTTAAAATGCTTGTTACAGATGGTACGAGAGAAAGAAACCAGTGATGTGTATGCATTGAAAACAATGCGTAAAGAGCAAGCTCGGAAGCGAGTGGCAAGTGGAGCAGAAGACGAAAGGAATGTGTTAGCTAATGCCAATGGACCCTGGATACCAAAACTGCAATATGCATTTCAGGTTTGCTTTCATTTTAGGCATATAATTTTTTTTTATGTTAAAGCTATGCAGGTCTTCCACAATCAGTATCACTGAGATTAGTATGATCTATTGTGATTGCTGCTATTGCGATAGTTAGCTAAGCACTACATATTTAATGAGTTGCAGGAGTTGTTCAGCCGTGAGCATTTTGATTTCCCTTGGATTTAGTAAGTAGTTCCCCAGATGAATAGTATGTTTACTACGTTAAGGGACTTCATTCAATTATACATTGACAATCTATTCTACAGGGTTATTTTTTAAAGAGTAGCCAAATTTTAAACTTAAAGCCGAACATCCACCACACACAAAGCACCTCTCACCCCCTTACCTTACCGCTCTGACGTGTTTCGCTGGTTTTGTTTGTTTATTAAAGGGCAGGGTGATCCATCTTTGTATTAAAGCTGAGAAATCTGCGCACAATCGGGATTTTGTTACATTCCAAGACAGTACTTAAATAAATTTTTTGTACAACTTACTTTTCGATAAATATACCTATGTATGTAACCTATGTATTAATCTGTTTCATTTTAATATAGATACACTTTACAAATGGCCCTACAAATAGCTAATCTTTTTTCCGGCGATATTAGCTTTTCGATAATTAGTATCAATTTTAGTGATATTCTTGGCAATAATTTTTGGTAACTCATGAAATTGTTCTCTGGATACACAATAGTACATTTTAAAGTTTTCATTGTCTACTTTGTCAAATACCAGCGTAAAATAGCAGCTTAATACTAATAGTGTTTTGTATGGTGAGTGTTGAGATCTGGAGACCCTTTTTTACTGAAATGAGGGATTCCATCTTAGTCCTCAGGGGTGACAACGAATCTGCGTTTAGATTCTTAATCGAGGATAAATGTAGATGTCTATGGACCACAGCATCCACTTACAATTAGGTGGATTGTGTACTCGTTTGTCACCCTTATTCTATAAAAAAAACGGTGTTAAATTCTCCGCGTGTTTTCCAATATTGAATGTGCTTGATTACATGGTATCTGAGTTTGAGTTCTTACTTCCTAAAATGAGCAATAATCAATTCTTTTTTTTATCATGAAAACTTCATGTTTAGGGTTTTTTCAAGGGCGATATCGTAACGATGTGAGTAGAAGATTTAAGGCTTTAGAAAGTTTTAGTGCACTACAAAGCTATATCATAATTTTTAATTACGGTTTTTTAGAGCGATGACAATCCCATCATAGCGTTTTACGAAAATATGCGTCAAAGTTATCTTTCAGGTCGAATGCAACCATTATAAGCTAAAATACTTCATTTTAAGCGTTATTATAACGGAATATATTGTTACGAGCTTAGAGTTCGTGACAATAACAACTGCCGATTGAATTACCAAAATTGACACTTATTACCGACACCTATTAAAACTTAAAACACACTAATAATTAATCACACTTAGCACTTTATTTCACTCCGAAGTCTTCGCTTATGTCGCCAATTCTATACTGTCCCGGTCGCGGTCCTTAATGCCAATATATACGACCTTTTCCACTAAAACATCCCGAATGTTCGAGCACATATCGGTCCCAACCGACTAAGTGTAAAATAGCTCTCTCCTAGTTCTGCCACTCGATATTAGATGGCGCTAGTGGGCAGGTTCTAGCATGGCATTTTCTAGAAAGCTCTCTTAATGCCTGCTACTAGATACTAGATGGCGCTAGTGTCATTTACCGGCATCAACTATGGCGCGCAACAATATAGTCTTGAAGTTCAATACAAAGCCTAAATTACGAAAATATTTTAATTAAATATTAAAAAAACAAGACTATATAATCACCAAAACAGTCCACTACAATGTCATTTTTTTCTGCGTATTTGGATATAAACTTATTTATTTTAATTTTATCAAAACACAAGTAATTTTAAATAGTCCAAAAAAAAATTTGCTCGTTTTATTAAATTTATTATTTTATATGGTTATTTTCAAAATATTATAAATCATCACGTGCAGACTCCATCCAATTCAGTACGCTCCAGGTTTTCCCAACAATAGGATATATTACTATTTCCCACCGCCTCGCTCGCTCGCTCGCGTTCGTGTTAATCCACACCGATCGCGTAAACTAATGTTGCGAAGTCCGGGAGACTTTCTTTTGAATAGTTTTCGCGGGACCTCCTGGTTTTCAGGGGTCTCGTGACACATCCCGATTCACCCTTGATTGGAACGCCAAATGTGCCAAATATTTACTAACCTTCATAGTCCGTGTTTGAATTGATCATTTTGACAGTAAAACTGAATATATCTAAGTAAGCTGTTACTACATTAAAATATTTTAGCTTAGACAATTTCATATTTTTTCACCAAACTCGAACTAAATAGGCAATGTCAAAATTTAAACTTTGCATGTAATGTAATGTGTTGGCATGGCGAGATACAGATATCAATCATGTTGACTCGTTTTTTTCACTTTCTGATCCCTATCGCCGAATTGCGCTATGCATCTATGTCGTTAATTCGACGATCATTTATTATTTCATTTTTTACTAGTAATTAGTACAGTATCTAACTTATGTGTTGCGGTTTAGATAAGAACATTTAATAAAATGCAAAAATCTTGCGGGAAAGTTCTTCTACTAGTCAATTTCTTCAATCGGTTGTAAGTAATGTTGTTTTTAATAAATAAAGTAACATTATACATCCGATATAAGGATTTTATCTAGGCTTTCAAGTTTTGAGGAATTATAAACTTTTGATTATGAATGAATCTGTGCTTTGATATTTTGTATAATATCGTTTTTTAAAGGACTTTTTGAAGTGCATGAATTGTGAGTTCATATGATTTATTACTATTTTCAATATTATATAATTCAGAAAGTTCAGAGTCTGCAACGATGTTTGGACGAAAAATTATTCGTTCATTTGATCAGTCCTAAACAATAATTATAAACACATTGCGAATTGTGTCAAAAAGACTAATGGTGACCACAGTGGCTACAAAAAATATGCTTTTCGTACTTATTGTAACCTACTGTCCCAAAGTTAGACCCAGTTGACCTGGCCACATTAGCATAAATGAATGAAGGTGCAAGTGCAACACAACATAATGAATGATACATTGTTAAATGATAATATTTATTTAATTATTAATAATTTTATACGGTTATTTAATAGTAAGCAATTTATATTAATAATATTTATTACTATAAGAGTTATACTTGACGGCTTCGTGGAGGAAAGGCTTAGCAATAAGTTTATCGCTGAGGGCCGCGGGTGCGATTCCCGTACGGAACAAAAATTTGTATATCCTGCAAATAATTGTTCCGGGTTTGAATGTTTATCCTTGTGAAATTTATGTACCTACTTATGTTAACTGCCCCACGAAATTCTTAAGAAAAATTTTTCGTGTGGAGGTAACGTAATTATAAACAGAAACAAAAAATAGAGCTGTGATGGCTCTAGGGCGAAGTGCTCGCCGTAAACGCGAGTAAACCGGGTTCGATCCCGCCGATACCAATGAAATTGTTAGTTTAATGAGTTAGGTTTACATTATGAAACAGAATAATAGTATATCAAACGATATCCATTTTATATAATACATATTTTTAATTCGAACATATTATATTATTTACCCAGTTCTAGTTGTTACGTTGACATGGGACGATTACTCGGTTTGGATTCGGTACTCGGCGGATACTGCCTTTTTTTAGAGTTTGGCCGAGTACCAAGTACTCGGTCTTAAGCGCTTATTACATTATACAATTTTTAGGAAATCTAATTAGGAAGTAGGAAGGTGTAATCGTAGTTAGAACAGTTAGGATCCGATTTAGTCAAATTGGAGGTCCCAATCGCTCTACTTCCTAAATTGTTTACAATTTAGGACAGTGTAATCGCAATGTTACGATTTAGAACAACCAGTAGGCGCCCGCGCTTTGATCTAAGTGGAAATATCGTTGCTTCTTTTTCAATATGTTTGGATACCAAACTTAATAAATAATCAAACTGCTTAGAATCAACTCTTAAAAAATTTATACAGTCGCCAGGTTCGAACATATGCACTATATTCATATAGGACAGTTTTTTTCTCAATGACAAGTATTCTTTAACTCGACATTTTCTCTTTTTTCTTTTTTTAATATCCATTGTTCCCATCACGGCTAAGGCAAGTTCTATTTTCTGCTGTTTTGATAAATACGGCGCCATCGATCAAACGTGCAACCCCGTCGATACTTCTTTACGAATGCGCTTCGTCTCTATTTAGAATTAAATTTAGTATAGTGTGATCACTAGCTTCCAATTTAGGTTCCTAATTAGATTTTCTAAAAATTGTATAATGTAATAAGCGCTTTAATTATATTCCAGATAAAAATAAAGACAAAAAGCCAGTTTTTATCATTGTTATTATATTAGACATATTAAAACAACAGGAACATCGAGAAACAGCAGAAATATTGGGAATAGTATATATAAGAATCTATAATAGAAATTATTTAAAATGTAAGAGAGGAAGATTGTGATGCAAAACAATAATTTTCGGCACTATTTGGGTCTAGTTTGCTACTTTTTGCTTCATCATTTGTACTTACTCTTTTTTTTAATTTACTCGTTTCCTTTCATCCCTAACTTTGAGTGAGGAAAATAACCGCGCGCAGCCAGCTATCGAGTTTTTTTTTAAAGCCGAATATTCTACCGAGTACTCGGCCCAATCTAGGCCGAGTATTCATCAGTAAAGAATATAAGAGTGTATGTATATATTATGCTTTGTAATTTCGCATCTCTTATAACGGATAATGCCATTAATTTTCCTATTTCAATTCTGTTACAGGACAGTAGTAATCTCTATCTAGTCATGGAGCTTTGCAATGGTGGTGATTTAGCAGGTTTGATGGCGCGGCGCAACCACCCCCTGTCAGAGCACGATGCCGCTTTTTATGTAGCTGAAGTAGCACATGCTCTAAAAACGGTCCATGCTATGGGTTACGTGCATCGAGACGTCAAACCTCAAAATATTTTTATTGATAGGCAAGTAATTCATGCGGTTTTCTCTTCCTCATCAGCTTGTAAACACTCCTTTGTTGAATATAACTTTTCTCACAATGGGGACGATTTGCTGTAATCACTTTGCTTGCCAGGTGCATTGGCGATCTTAGTACCGGACGTCTCACACATTTCACTCTATTTACTACTGCCGGTAAAGATATTTTGCGTCTGGTATATACTGGATGACCTTTTTTACCATCTGGAAAAATAAGGTGTAACCTGTGAACGGAGTGGAAGCCTATAATACTTTACAAAAAAATAAAAACAAAACTTTTGAATTAAACATTTGAAAAACTTTTTTTTGAACAATTACTTTGACTTTTGCCTGTGACCCTGCGACGTGACAAGGTCAAGGACGTACTAAATTTATTGTTTTATTACCGTTAGTAAAGCAGGGTAGATATGATTGGAATTTCGATAGATATTCATTAATTTATTTCAAAATTTTTGTTTTTATTTTTTGAAAATAACAGTGCCATAGGCTTCTACTCTATTCACATGTTACACCCTATTTTATTTTCTAGACAGTAAAAAAGGTCATCCAGTATACAAAATGGTATACTATTTATTAGATGTCAAAAGATCTTCCAGGCTCAGGTTGTTTCTCAAAAGCTTACGACTGTAACAAAAACAAAATGGGCTGATGGATTATTTTATGATACTCAGCTATTCATATTAGTATAATAATTTATGCCATTAGCATACATAACCGCATATCGTCCTAGGTCGTAACAGGCGACTATAAGAAAAGTAAGGAAATTTTATGACTATGGTACACCATCTCGTTTACACCAATAGTAAAATACACAGACCAATGACGGGGAACAGCGTCAAAAATAGTGAGATGTCCGATTGTTTATCAACCTGCTTAGCATGACAATAAAGGCAAATTCTCTTTACAACGAGGGAGGCCTATGTTCAGCAATGGATATTTTGATTTGCATATAGTAACAACTCAATTTTTGGTTGTCAACATTTTTACAAAGTACATAGTATTTTTAACGTATATAATGAAGTTATATTCTTTCTGTGACCACTATATACAAACAGAAGCTAGTGACACCTGTTGCTTGATTTCACAAGTCAGTAATACATTTTTTATAAAGGAATATGTAGATAGATAGATAACGACTGGCTGATTCCGCAACTCCACGTCTAAGCGCGTATTTTGCGTGTGGGCAGGAATAATGCAATTATTCGAGCCATGAAATCTCCCCGAAGAATTTTAACAGTCCTTTAATGTCGCGAGTAACTTCGGGGAGTGAACCCGACGTGCCGAGATGTTTAGCCATCTAGGCAGCGATCGCCGGACATGTCAACAACACGTGGGTCGCCGTTTCTTCCTACCTCATACATGCCCTGCACAGGGGACTACCTGTAACACCTATGGTAATGGTGAAATGTATAATATGCTTCTATAAATAAGTCCCAGAAAATATACAGTCTTAATTAATAGAATCAGGCGTTACTTTGCGGAAATCCATTACATTAATGATTTATATTGTTAATTTGCTGAGATCCGCGTAATAAAATGAAATGATGTGTCTTACCTAGTTTGAAGAGCACCGCCCGCCCTCTCTCAATAGCTTGCACTACTCCCAACACTACTACACTAGGAAAGACAAACTACCTTACCGTCGATAATACGACACGTATTTCGCCTCTACATGAAGTATCTTCATGAGTAATCTTTATCTTTAATACAAGATGTATCTACCACCAATACATATGATTGTAATAAAAACTCGTCCAAGGGGTCCAAGATATCCAATTGGTTAAAAGGATTCACAATGACAGCAAATACTTCATACTATGGAAGAAGATTCTGTATATCATACTAGAAAAGACATTTTATTGCACATATCCATTTGTTATCGATACTCAACCCGGGGAATTACGGACCTGAATTATAAGTTGTTTAACAGTTGTGTATTTTTATCAGATGCGGACACGTGAAACTCGGTGATTTCGGTTCGTGCGCTCGTCTATCTGAAGGCGGGGCGTCGGGCATCGCGGTGGGAACTCCCGACTACGTGGCGCCGGAGCTGCTAGCCGCCGCCGACTGCCCTCACACCGTCTGTCTCGACTACTGCCGCGGCGTACAGACCGCTATTGTGGGTTCGCTCGCACGCACTCGCTTCGCTCGCTCCGTCTCTTTCTAAACCTCTTGTTCATTTGTACAGTGTCTCGTAGATTTGAGTATGATGATGGGTTTTAATCGTAAAGTTCTAATTACGTACGTGCATGTCCTATTCCTTTTAAGGTCTATCCACATACTATCCAGGCTGTGGGCTTCACTATGGACGAAGCTGAACCTTGTACATCAGTGTTAACACTGACAAATTATGAAAGTAAAGTAAAGTGACAGCCAAAATTACATCCCAGTCCTCCACTCATTTCTGATAGAGTTATGATGCAATTGGTCTGTTATGCTGCACTTGACCGTTTTAGTGGATCTCCAATATCTTAGATTTGTACCAGAATCGACTTTGGATATATTTAAACACATTTAGTTTGTTAATGTTTTTAAGAGTGTAAATATCTATAACATTTAACCCACAACACAAGTAATATAAGGCTATCAGAAAACTAAGTTATATATAACTATATTTCAATGCTGATTTAATAGTTTTCTATTAGCATTACGATTGTAGAGAAAGTTAACTTAGCTAAGCCAGCAGGATCATAATATAGTTTAGCTAGTATTTAACAGTAAACATTAGTTTTGTGGGTCTGGATATGTTGTAAATGTCTCCATATCACTGGCACTGCATCCAAATATACCTCCGATCTTATCGTTCGAGTGTTACGCATATTTGGACGCGAATTTGTTTAAAGTCATATGTCTCTGTGGTTAACGCGTACACTTCTGGGGCTATAAAATATTTTACACAGTCGATAACTTCCCAATATAATTTTCGCATCTTGATTAGCCTTTGTATTATTGTAGATTTCAGCTCAGTATGTTTTCATATTATATATTTTCATTAAATTTTAAAGGTTTAGATTGAGACATAAGTAGAGTATTGTAACATAAGATAACGAATTTAATCAACTCACTAGCACTGTTTGTTACTAATTTAATTTTGCAGTTGAGCGCTAGCACGCTTACATTTATTGACGAGAATGATTAAGGTGAAGTAAACCGAGTGTTGTTAATATGAGCATGTTTTTGAATAGAAAATTAATGTAGAAATTATTTAAATACTGAATCCTAAAGAAGTATGTGCTATGTTAACGATTTGGATACGGAAGATGTTTTTTAACTAATACAGTGCAACATGCATTCTTAGATCAACTATAGATTAACTAAATGTGAAGTCCTTTCACTCCTAACTCGCGTAAACAGTTGTTAGAAATACCTGCATGGATATTTTTTAACCCTCGAGTTTGTTATTGTTATACTATATGTTATTAGTGGCATAATTTATAATTACAGTTGAAGCTAGAGACAAGCTATGTCATAGCTTCATAAAGTAATTACCACGTATTATTATATTGTTATCTTTTGTACAGGCTGACAATTGTAATAATTATTGTTTACTTTCTAAAATATAGTGCCTAAATATTGTACCCGTAAGTAGGGAGGGCACTTTCAGATCTTTACCTTTCCCCACCCTGTATATCTTTTAAGAAACACACTTTAACACGGTTTGGTTGTAATTGGTTTGGGGTCAGTGGTGCTGGAAATTAATTAAATCACCTTAAGATTACATTTTTGATCACTGTTTTATATTTATGAAATTTGAATGTGCAAGTTAGCGAGCTCAGAACTGACCCTCTCGCACTGATAATGTTTAGCTTTCTGTCACCACTCTTATCACTCTATGAGATTTTTTAAATTCATTAATTAAAGTCTATTAAAGTGTACTGCTTTACAAATGTCACTCACATAGATTGTCTCATAGGGGAAATATTGCCATTGTTTTTTTTTATATAGGATAAGGTGACAAACGATCACACAGTCCACCTGATGGTAAGTGGTTGCTGCGGCCCATAGACATTTACATCTATCCTCGATTACAAACCAAAATGCAGATGAGTTATCACCCACTGATGCCTCGTTTCAATAAAAATGGTCTCCAATTCTCTACACTCACCATACAAAACACATCAGCATTAAGCTACTATTTGACGCTGGTATTCTGTGAGAGCGGAGTCCTTCCCCGGCCGAGCCGACCCATTCGTGCTACAACTATACTACTAATATAACTGCAGCATGGCTCTACCACGTATACGTTGTATATGTTGCCGCCACGTTTAACAGGGAGGTTGACAAACATAATTGTTTTATTATTTTGGGTTTTTTCAAGGAAGATGCTGCTGCCCATCTCCCATTTCATTTCCCTTCATATGATGATATGGGTTAGTGGAGATGGTGGAGGGGTAGTGTTGCTAATACTAAATCCGGAATGAGGAGCCACAAAATGATGACGCTAATGGTTCCTGGGTTCGAATCCGGAAAACGGATGGTCACTAAATGGTTACAGTGACTAGGTTGCCCTTCGTATCCGGAGAGAAGGAACCAAAAAATGGTTGGCTATAGGGTCACTGGTTTGGTTCCGAGAATAATAACACCGAGATTTGTATGCGAGATTAACGATAGGTGTTCTAGATTGAACCAAATGGTGGACTGTACATGCGTAGTTAGTTATAACTAAAAAAAAATGACGAACGTAGCATGTGGCTGGGTTTTGGACAATGCACTTGTTATGACTCCACTTACTCTGTTTAGCCAGTACCTTTATACAGGAACAAAACATGAGCTTCCAGGAAAAAAGACACAATAAAGGACGAAAAAACACCTCATTAATTATATATTAGAAAGCACTTAACGGGGTGGGTCTTCTGATTGCCTTTGGTCTTAGGCCTCGAGGTTGAAGACTGCGTTACAACTCCCTTACAAGTGACCGAGCGGCTGCAGCGGACGCGTCCTTTTACCTTCTCGGCCGTCTCCACTCCCATATAAGCGGAGTGCGCTTTTTCATTGTATGCAAAAATGATGCCACATATTTTAGCCTCCTCCCCCCCCCCTCAGTGTATGCGGAAGGGAAAACGGATGGGATGGGAGAATGTACTAGCTAATTACTAGCTACCAGAACAAAATGTATACCCTCGGTATTCGTTTTCCGCGCAACCAGGTGATACTCTTACGCCGTCCCTCCACCAGTCTCTCTGTGGAATTATTGTGCATCAATTTCAACTGAATATGCCGTTATTTAGTAACCACTGCCTCGTCCATTGTTTAGCAGCATGCTGCTGCTTTTCATTCACCCCCTGATAATTCCCCTTTTCAACCTAGATTCGAATTAATTTAAAAATAACGTTTAGATCTATAAAGGTTAAGGAAGATTAAGATTTAATAATATTTTTAAAAAGTGTTATGACAAATTGACAAATAGTTTACCAGAGTACTAGTTTGTAAATTAGCGGCGTTAGAGAATCCCATGGGGATTTTAAGAGACGACTATAGGATATGCCAAAAAAATCTTATGACTTCCGAATATTTACAAAACATGGTATTTTATATTTCTTTTTTTTTTTCTTTCTTTTGTAATTTTAAGGCATTTCAATCCCATCATATGTTTATTAAAAACATCATTAAGTACTGCATTAACATAAATCTTAAAATTAAACAAAACCATGCATATTTATAACAGAGTATCCTAATGCTAATAAAGCGTATTTAGCAAACAAAGTTATTAAAAGGAAAAACATTAAGTGGAATGAACCAAACGTGTGATAATCATAGTTTGAAGTTTGCAATTTGTATATCTAGTTAAGATAGTTATATAGAAGTTAAGATAGTATCGAAATGAGTATAAGATATATTATACATATAGGAATATAATATTTAGTCGAATTTATATTCGAAATTCCCTATTCCGGTCATGTGTATTATACATATTTAACGTATTCTCTCTGTGTACAGTCCGCCTGTGACTACTGGTCTCTCGGCGTGGTGGCGTTTGAACTTGTGACACTGAAAAGGCCATTTTCGTCCAGCGACGACGATTCTCTGGCACAGATCTTAGCCAACATTCAGAGGTATGGTGTTTTTTACGAATTTGTTAATAATTGACAATTTTTCATAACCTCAAAGAAATCTTTAGCACATTATCGCATTACATTGTTTCGTTTATAACAATTTCTCAAACAACTGATATCGGTAATTCATGCAATAGAGAAGTTGCATTTTTTTTTGCCACAAATTTATATATATAGAATAGTGTATATATACAACGTGTCCCAAAATTCAACGATAAGCCAACACCGGAGGATAGACCTGCCCCGGACTAATTGGGGAAAAAAAGAAAAAAATATATATCCCAATTATATTTTTAGTTACATAAAAAAAATGAAATTCTTCAGAAATTGAGACCGTTTATGATATTTTTCACTACCATGACCATAATTTTTTTAATATTTTTTTCTTTTTTTTTATAGGCAACCTGAATAGTACTGCTATCTACCACAATTCTTAAAAACTCCAGAATAACTCTTGTTTTATCACGAAAATTAATGAAACTTATTTTATTCCCTAAATTTTTTGAAGACTTTTACTTTTAACCAAATTTAACTCATCGTGGTGTAAAAAAAAAGTACGAACACTAGTATGGCAAGTTTTTTTAAAAATTGACGCAACTAACCAACATTCCAAAATGGTATAATACTCTAGGAAAACAAGTTATAAAAAAATATGGACCTATTATTTCTTAACAGGGGCCAAATGACGGTCAGGTGTAATAAAAGTATTAGTTCTTGAAAAATGTTTAATATTTCAAAACAAATGGTACAAACAGTTTCACGTGTAATTTATTAAGTTATTAACATTATAGCAAATGTTCGAACTGTTTGCCACCAGCATTAATACATGCACGACATCGCCTTAAAAATGATCGTTTTATTTGTCTTGCATATCTTCTGCTATTAATGTAATCAGCAGCCTGAGTGATATTTTGACGAAGCTCGTCCAATGTCGCAATGGGTTTTGAGTAGACCCTGTTTTTAAGAGAAACCCAATAGAAGAAGTCCAGGGGGTTCAAATCGGGTGAACGGGGTGGCCATAAGATAGGACACGTTGTATATATAAGAATAGTTCATTTAAAGTATATTTAAATATTTTGTTTTAATAATAATTCAATATCTTTTAGTAAATAGAAAACAGTTAAGTTTTTGAATGAAAAAAATGACTTTTGATTGGTAGTGAGTCACTACCAATCAAAAGTCGTTTTTTTTAATCACTTCTATTGCCATCATTATATCCGTTGAGCTAATCGCAATTATGCTATACCTTTGTATTTTCTGCCTGTGTTCAGAAATAAAACACAGTATACTGACGAATACAAATGACGTCATTCATTGACGCCACATTGTACTGGCGTGCCGCTGCCATATTGTGTCGGATATCCCACCGTATTAACCCTCGTCTGCCGGCCGGCCATTTTGCAAATATGTCGCGTCTGCTAGGGCCTTAGCAGGTAATTTCGCGATATCGGAGCGTGGCGATTAAATTAGTAATTTCTCTAAAATATTGTATGGAAGCTATGTATAAAACTTATGTCATATGATTGTTATATTATTTGCTATTACTCTGTAGATATCTTAGTTTAATACAACTTAATAGATTTTATTAAACCAATTTCAAAGTTGGAAAACCAAATTTTTAATAGTATTTTGTGCATAATTTGTGGAAATTAAACAAAAAAATCATTCTTTTATAAAATAAATGTATTTTATTTTCATCAATATACACTAATTTATAATAAAAAAGCAAAAAAAACCACACATTCCTATATATTTTTACCCCAAAAGTTTTTAAAAATCTGAACACATGAACGGCAACCCAAGCGTCGCACAGTAAATAGCATATATTGTTAGTTTTATTTTGAGAAATGAGCAAGTCAAGTGGCGTGCGATAATTTTAACATTAAGTATGGTTCTAGTTCTTAATTTAGACAAAGTTTCATTTCTAAAAAGTATGTAGTGTATTTTTAATCAACAATAGAGATAAATGTAAGGTAAGTAAGTATAACGACCGTTTATGTTTGAATTTTTTTTTTATAAGAGGATACATATCCCTAAATTATGAATTAAAAACTGTTGGTTATTAACCCTTCCATGTTTAAATAGCACCAAACTTCACTATTTGTTCGATTTACGAATAAAAATAAGGACAAAAACCGGGACGGGCGACCACATAAAAGTGACGTTCGCATGTGACTGCTACACAGGCTGTTCGAAATTTCTAAACATTGTAGTACTTTAGTAGCTTTGTATTGCATCCTCTTTCTTTGGTTTATAATTATCTATAAGTAAAAGTGTGATAGAAATCATTGTCGCTGGTTATTTTACCCGCCAAATACGCAGTCGCGGATCGGCCAGAATCTGCTCGCTTGCCAGACGCGCGTAATTAACCATCGGCCAGAATCTGGCCGGTCGCCACACAAGGGGTTAAAACAATTTTTAATTATGTGTATCCTGAATGAAGCATGCCAGAATATGTTTTTATTTAAAAGTTACAGCCTATATACGTCCCACTGCTGGGCACAGGCCTCCCCTCATTTCTGAGAGGGTTTTAGGGCAAGGAAGTGTCCACCGCGCTGCCCCAATGCGTGTTGGCGAACTTCACATGTCTTAGAAATGATGAATGATAAATGATAGAATTTTCTTTCTTCCTCAGACATGCAGGTTTCCTCACGATGTTTTCCTTCACCGTCGAGAACGTGGTAAATCAGCACTTAAAATTGCAATTAACAATTTCATTGGTGCCGGCGGAGATCGAACCCGATTTGCTCGCGTACTGTGAAATTTACTGCAAGCGCTAACCATCTGAGCTCCCACGCTCTACTCGGACTGATTTGCCATCCATAAAGGTGTCAGACAGGGCTGTGTGGCTTCCCCTGGCTTTCAACCTATTTATGGACAGTTATTTGCAAAATTTGAAAGTTGAAGAATGCGGATTAAGAATGGGTGAGTTAACCGTCAAATGCCTTTTGTACGCCGATGATCAAGTTATTCTTCCGTCGTCGGCTGCCGAGTTGCAAATGATGGTCACATTAATGAACAGATCACTAAAAGAAAGGGGTATGAAAGTGAACGCTAGTAAGACGAAAGTTACGGTTTTTGAAAGAGAAGAAAGTAAAACGATGTGTGAAATAAGAATAGAAGGGGAGTTGATAGAGCAAGTTTTTATATTTGGGTTGCGTATGGCCCTACACTCTATTGTGAAGAGTCAAAATGTGTCGAAAAAGGCACGTATGGCAATTCACAATGCTGTGTTGGTCCCTACTTTAACGTATGGTAGTGAAAGTTGGGTGTGGCAGAAGAAGCACGAGAGTAGAATAAACGCAGTAGAAATGCGGTTGTTAAGGAGTATGTTAGGGCTGAATCTGAATGACAGGGTGAGAAATTGTGTGATAAGAGAAGAGTGTGGTTTGCAAGATGATGTTGTTACCAGGATTAAGAAAGTAATGCTTCGGTGGTTTGGTAATGTGGGAAGAATGAATGAGGAAAGAGTGACAAAGAAAATTTATGTTGCAGAAGTGAATGGCAGAATCGGAAAGGGACGTCCTAGGCGAAAATTTATCGACCAAATTGGCGATTTATTGAAAACGGGCCAAATTAGGAGTACCCTTAACCGACGAGCATGTATGCGTAGGTATATGGATGTGAAGGAGGCGAGAGAGGTGTGTCAGGATCGTGCTAAACGGAAGTCTGTAGTCTCTGCCTACCCCTCTGGGTGATAGGCGTGAGTTTTTATGTATGTATGTATTTAAAAATAGTTTAGCTTATTTTAAGGAGGACAGGAGGATTGTCCTGTGTAGTGTGAACACTACACAGTAAGAAACTATTTAAGGATGTTATCGCGTACAATTCTAACATATGTATAATTCCTGAATTTCGAGTACAGCGTGCTGTTCTTGCAATAAAACGCGCGAGATCACACCCTCGTATTTCTAGGTAGTTTAGGAGCATCATTGGCAATCGGGAGGTGTCTACCGCGCAATGTCCAAGCCTTCTTTGGAATTCTGTTTCTTTTATGATTAGTTTTTACAAATTTTAGAATTATTTTACGTAGATATGAGCGCGAAACTGACGCTGAGCCTCCGTTCGAGCCCCTGCCCCAGGGTCCGTCGCCTGTGTGGCGCACGCTGGTGGGTGGGCTGCTTCGGGTGGCGCCGGCGCGCCGCTTCAGCTACCTGGACACGCTGCAGCAGCCCGCGCTGGCGCACCTCCGCTTGCACTCCATCCGCGATCAGGTGCGCTCCACCCCGCCACCCCACCACAAAACGTCGCACCACACTACCTACATCATAGAATACTATAATACACAATGGAATGGTTGTCAAACTTATTTTGTACAAGATTCCGCGTCGCCGGGAGCACACATACAAGCAATTACGTCGTATTATTATCAGTTAATCACTACTACAAACCCGATTCGCTGTTTTGACAGACTGAGAAAATTTACACATTAGACTTTTGATTAATGTTCAAAATCATCATTAAAAGAGTAGTTTAAATTTTAATACATATTTTTATGTAAATAGTGTGCAATTTGGTATTTTCTAAATAATTTACATGCGAAATTTGGAAACGATTGTTACGTCAAAACACATCTAGTGTTGATATTTATACGTGTGAATGGGCATGTTAGTGAGATTTTAGTGGCTACACGGGCTCCGCCCACTCCCCCGTTCTATTATGTATGTATTATATTATTCTATGACCTACACCTAGCACCTTGCTGGCCTTACGTGATCAATCGCGCCCCACCTTGCTTCAGATCACTAGCACTCCTCACACCTCTGCCTTCACACGCGCCCCACCCCATTACATAACAGCATAACAGCACTGCAATGACACATAAAATATCTCTACTTCCACCTGCGCGTCGTCCACGAATACAGATTATTTGCACAGCAGTAGTGTTAGCCAAGATGACATTCTACAATAGTTAATGCAATAGAAAACGATAAATGAATTGAATTTTTATTATATTGAATTTTTCTTTAATATATTGAATTGAATAACCCCTGAGAAAGGTGATCACTCTCAAGCTATTTATAATTTGTTTTGTGTTGTTAATTGTGTAACATACATGATTTCAAGCTGTTATTTTTTTAAAGACCCACTGGTTTTCTTGCTGGTTCTTCCCAAGACAGAGGTATTTTTCGAACCAGTGATAAATTGAAAAAAGTGACCTTCAATGAGTATTATTTATAATCTATATTGAATAAAAAAGTTTCTGTTTCTGAATCAATGCTAAGTCACGTTTGACGTCATTCATATAAAATTTTATAGTTAACAATCGTAAAAAGTTGACTAAATCCGTTGGACCGCCCAACTTTAGGCGTGTGTCGACACACGCTAAACCTGATTTCTTGTTTTAACACTGTACTTTGCTTACGTCACACATCGACATTATCAAATTTTATTAACACAGTTATATAAAATGACATCGTACCCCAGTCGTTTTACTTTCGTTTATGGTTAATTACAGGCTCCGCCATGGGTTCCTCACCTTCGCGGGCCAGAAGACGCGTCGTACTTTTCACCGCCGTCGCGGGGCACGCCACCCCCCTCCGCGACACCGTTCCGCACGCGACTACCATTTGCAGGACAGCTGCCTTTTGTTGGTCATTATTACCTTTCATTTCCTTAACGTGTATTTTATTCAATACTTTTTACAAATGTGTTTACTTTTCTCAATTTCTGTCTGTCTTTGCCTTTGCAGGATATTCCTTCGTAGCTCCAGATGAAAATGAGGATAGTAGTGGTGGTTTCAATGCGTCGCATGATTGCACGGCCATTAACCTAGCTACTTTTAAGTGAGTTATTTTTTTATTGGTAGTAAGACATAGTCTATCGTAGGATTAAAGCCCTAAATTCAGAAGCTATAATGTGAAAATTAATATATTATTTTTAGTTTTTGTAAGTCTGATTATTACATACATTTTATTAAAAGCTTTATTTTTTATCCTTTTGAGTGGATTAAAGAACATCACAAGCTCAAGGATATAACTGGAATGTCAGCTTGTCATTAAAAACTACATCAATTATTATTTTCCTATAGCAGTGGAATTTTTGCTTCAAATTTAAATAAGAGGGTTCACCCTTGAGATATTATAGACTATACATAATAAAAAAATCAATAAAATTGTTAAATCAAAAAATAACAATTGGTGAATATATCGCGTTACATACATACGAAAAAAGAAAGAAGATAGTTTTATCACTAGTTCAGAGAATAACTTCTGTCTTGGGAAAAACCAGCAAGAAATTTAGTGAGAATTTTAAATAATATGAATTTACAATAGAATATTTTATATACATCATTAACCTGTATGTTCGGAAGGCGAATTTAGTCGATTCGCCGGTTGGCTCGCGACATAAAATGGCGGGAAATGCAAATTTTTTGCTAACTTGCAAATTTTGCTATATTTTCACTTTGAGACAATATTTATGGATAAAACTTACAGGGATTCTTATTGAATGTATAAACTATCGAATAAAATTATTTTTAGTTGCTAGAAATTGTAATAAAATTCATAAATTACCCTTTATAACATAGTAGTAGTAGATACTTCACTTTTAGTCTAAAATTACTACTAATTTGAATTATACATGTTTGTTTTTGGAGAAATCTATATGAAAATGTTTGGATATATGTATATTTTTATGTTTTATGTGTTTCTATTCGTTACTCATACCAAAATATAAAAATAAAAAAATATAAAAAAAACGAAATTAATTTTTATCTGTATGAGAATTCCGAATATTTCAAATATATTTTCGTGTGAATTTGAAATAAGTACAACGTCAAGTTATTTGAAATATGTTATAAAACTATTTTTTGGTTACATTTTACACTAAAAATTTATAAGAATTGTAAAAATAACACATTTTTGACCCAACCGCTAAAATGGGCTAAAAGAAGGTAAATTTTGACTCTGTGTTAATGATCGTAATAGCTCAAGTGGATATCGAGCGGTCGCGAAATCGCATTGCATTGGTTCGCGTCCTGTCTTCGGCCTGACTTTTTTCCTTTTTTTTAAGTTGAAGTGAGAAAATCTATTATTTCGATCCCTTTTTTAAGTATTTTTTTAAAAATACGAAAATTTTAACTAAACTAATTGCATTCATGATTTTTTATTCAAATAACCAGTTCAGTTTTTTCTATTATGTCAATAAGATCAAAAAATATTATTCATGTTTCATCAGTATGTAATTTGTATCTAAATGTAAAGGTACTATGTATTAAAGTTTTTAATGTGTCACGTTTTTTTGTAATTCTTATATTATCACCTAATTTTGTGCTACGTTTAAAATTTTAAGTCTCCAGCTCTTCGGGAAGTTAGTTTAAAATGAATTACGTTTAAATCGCATCTAATAAGGGACTAATAAAATATTATGAACAGAGTAGTAAAATATGATGTGTCCGTGGTAATAAAAAAGCGATTATGCAGGTCGGCGGAGAAGCTGGCGGCGATGCGCGCGCGCGAGGTGGCGTCGCTGCAGAGCAAGCTGGCCGAGGCAGAGGCGGCGGCCGAGGCGGCGGCGGCCGCGGCGGCCGAGCGCGCGCGCCGCGATGCCGACGCGGAAGCCGAGCGCCAGCGCGTGCGCCTGCAGGCCGACATCACCGCACTCACTCTGCAGAACAAGTGCGCACACCGTTCATTCATTCGCTCTGTCATGTCTGACGTGTTGTGTTGTGACGCATCAGAACGATATCGGTTTCATACATTTGGTATGATGAGATTTATATTTGCGTGACCTGATGTGTTGTGATGGCTTCTGATATGACGCATCAGAAGAAATTTCGATCGCATCAGAGCGGCGAAAGTGAACATTAGACACGTGTGTACTCACCAGTGAACCGCATGTATCTTTGTCCCGATATAAAATATTATCATAATGGTTAATATATTATATAATCATATAAAATAGATTTATATAATATGTAATATATGGTATAAAATACTTTATTGAATTTATATGTTCTCTTTCTTTATTTTTTTATAGTATAAGTGTGACAAACGAGCACACAGTTCACCTGATGTTAAGTGGATGCTGTAGCCTATACACATCTACATTTATCTCCAATTAAGAATTAAAATCGCATCTGCAATGCGTTGTCACCCCTTTTTTTAACATGGGGAAATGCCTACGCATACCAGCCTCGCGGGGGGCAAGGACGGTTTATGTCGGACTCGCACCGACTAAAACCCCATGGTGTTCCACCTTCGTCGCATATTGGCAGGGCTACGGGAACGCTTTCGCACACATCCGTGGCCCCACCAGCGACTGCCGCCCCATGGCAGCACCTCATCGGGAGAGGAATTTTCCTCCCCGTTCTCCTTCCCAAGTAAGGCGCACCAGAACACATGGCACGCCTTCCTCCACGGCCTCCAATTACATCTGCGCAACAGACGCCCCCGCGTCCGATGCTCGAAGGCCATGGGGCCAGGAAAAACGAGCACTTAGAAGTACTAGCCTTCCCGACCCCAGCGGCGGATCTGGTCTATGGCTCCGCCGCCAACCAAGATTCGGCTGCGGAGGATAGGGAGAGCGGCGCCTCGCAATACCGACAATCCTCTCCCCCCGCAGCCCCATCACCACCGCATCAACGGTGCGGCTCCGTTTGCGTCGCGGAGGATAGGGCGAGTGGCGCATCGCCATACCAACACTCCTCTTCCTCCGCGACTCCACCTCGGCTGCAGCGGTAGGTGGGGAGGACACACCTCTCACCGCAGTCCACCAACACACATCCGAAGTGGGCTTCCCAAGCCCACTCGGAGTGGCCACCTCGGGCCGGCCCTCCACCTCGGACCAGCCATATGGGTTCCTCTTTGTTTCGCCGTGGGTGACCAAGCCACGGCTTCTAAGCCCCCCGCCACGACAAGGCGGGAACCCGTTCGGGGGGTCGCCCTGTCACCCCTGAGGGCTAAGATAGAACGCCTCTCGTTCTCTACACTCACCATTCGAAACACTGCAGCATTAACCTGCTATTTTACGCTTGTACTCTGTGGGAGTGTAGTCGTGCCCGGGTCGACACGCCCATTCGTGCTGGTATTAGTAGTAGAGTTGCAGCACCAAAAATTCAATATATTCTTCATGATCTGAATCAGAGTATTGATGATGATCTGATTCATGGAAAAGGATTGGAAACATATAACCTCTTCGAGAACTACAATTGTATTGATTCCAAGTATCATCAGAGCCCGCAACAGAACACGACTTATAAATGTGAAAGCCGGCCATCACATCGAAGCTTGTCACAACAGAACACGTCAGACAAATATAAACCCGGCTTCACTCTGCTACTTCCACTGCTGCACATTACTATAGCATTGAATTGCAATCTCAGCACCAGACGTCGCGCTACTCCGACACTGCCTCCTATTGATTATTTTATCTGTAAATATTAATAAAGTTGGTATGTCTGTATGTGATATCGAAATGATTGGCTTCTATTAAGCTCATGGGATTATTTGAATGCAATTAAGACATGATTAATCATTTTCTTTGAATGTAATGTGTCTGTCAATTTGTCCGGATTAATATCCGGATTGACTGAAACGATTGTGATGAATCGTCACAAACTGGTAGAGAATAGTAATCTAGGCTTATTAAAGGATTGTTAATCACCAGTGGCTGAATTGTTGTGTCCTTTCCTGAAAAGAGCTGGGCAGAACCAGCGTCATTTCAGACCTTGAGACAACACATCATCTTAGTCTTCAGAGATTTGCTTGTGCAGTTATCACATAATGTTTGATATGTTCTAAGTCCATCTATCACTTCAATTAACCCATCAGAAGCCACAAGATCTGAGCCTTTCCCTAAGTTGCCTGGTGTTTCCTTACGACACCCACAGCACAGTGGTAGTACCTCTATACGAGCTAAAATACGGCGAGCCCTATTAACTGAATGTAAATTGTTAACGAGATAATATTTGAATTTTCGCGTTCTTAAGTGTATTTATTATATTATCTGTAGCAAATATAAACTTCAAATGTCATAACGCGCCAATTACGCGCTAACGCAACGAATCGAACAACCAATTAAGGTATACCCAACCATCCTACTTGCACTCGTTGTAAGCCAACGAGTGCAGTGGTGGGAGGTGGTTTGGTTATTGGGCTTCGTAATTGCATATAGCTGCACCTTTATAACCTATGAAAAAATTGTACAAAGAAACAATCACTGTGGTTGGATTATATAGTAGGTGCAATACAGGCTTCTATATAAAATCTTGTAAAATGATGCAAAGTTGTGAAACAGGTGGTGTCTCCGGTGGCGATAAATGTAAACTTCAACTTTTTAAAAAGTGTTCTGTGCTTTAAGTCAACATCATCTGTACTTATAATGCCAGATATACAATACCTATCTTAGCATCGGAAAATATAAAAAAGTTGGGTAAGCTAATGTAATGTATGTATGTCAAGATCCAGGGCATGCCATTGTCATGTAATGGTATGATGGTTTCTCTTGTGGTTTTTGCACATGTTTTTTTATAGAATAGGGTGACAAACGAGCACAAAGTCCACCTTATAGTAAGTGTTTGCTGTCGCCCATAGACATCTACATCTATCCTCGATTATGAATCAAAATGCAGATGCGTTGTCACCAGTGAGGACTAAGATGGAACGCCTCATTTCCAGTAAAAATGGTCTCCGGCTCTCTACACTCACCATACGAAACACAACAGCATTAAGCTACTATTTGTTGCTGGTATTCTGTGAGAGCTTTGTCCTTACCCGGTTGAGCCGACCCATTCGTGCTGCAACTGTACTTCTAATATAACTTCAACATGGCTCTACCACATATATATATTTTTTTTTTTTTTTTTTTTTGTGTCTTATAATATAGGCACATATATGCTAATATGATTATTTGGCTTTAGAATCATATTCATGCAGTACATGAAAGCAACTGAATAGAAAATAAAGGAAATATTTTCTTTATTATTATACTGCAACCAACCATAAACAACCGGATTCATTAAACAGTAATTTAATGGATGCAGGTAGCTGAGAAGAGTGCTTTGCTGCTATTAATGAGGGAGACCTAATTTGGTAGAGGACTGGTTATCGGCTGTGATAATGATTATCATATTATTGTAAACTATATCCCTATGTAAACTTGTATGTACGATTTTCATAACACCTATATTTTAGAGTTAATATGGTGTAATGTTTTGTAGACGCCTGGAACGACAAGTGGAGGTGGAGAAAGAGGAGCGCATGGCCTTGCAACGCGCTAACCAGGAACTATCTTCTGGTATCGCTGAGCGAGGCAATGCGGAACTTCGCGCTAAGCAAGCTCATGTGTCGGAACTACAGACAGAAAGGGAATCGTTGAAGGATGAAATCAATAGGTTGGAGTCGCGACTTTCTGAGCTTCAAGCTGAAAATGCAAGAGCCAATGCCGCCGCTGATAATGCGCGCGCTCAACAGAAACATTATAAGGTAATCAATTTTTTATTGCATGTAAAAATAAATTGTTTCTTTAAGTTGACATAAATTACGTATCTGGTTCTGGGGAATAAGTCTCGTAAACTTTAAATTATCTAGTAAACTATTGACAGCAGCAAGCACCTTGAAATGTGTTTGCCTTTTTCAATACATCTTTTGTGACTTTTTATTTAACGCTGCTCACATAACTTTAAATACGGAACTTCGACTACATACAGACACAAAATTACATTTTCTTATGTGCAAAAATCCAACAAGACCTAACGTAAATTTTTTACAATCATTGAAATGTAATAATATTATTTATGCTATGTAGTAAGAGTATTAGACTTCATCATCCCTTAACACAACATGGGTATTGGGCTCGGAAGATATTATACCTCTGATGCGTGGTAGAATACCTGATATAAAACCCATAGAATACTATAATACACGATAGATTGGCTATCAACCTTATTTTCTACGACGATAGGTGTCGTCAGGAGCACACAAACAATAACGTCGTATTATCAGTGATAATTTATCACTACTACAAAATCGATTCGCTGTGTTGACAGACAGATTTTAATACATATTTATTTGTAAATAGCGTGCAATTCGGCATTTTCTAAATAATTTGCATGGAAAATTTGGAAACGATTGTAACGTCAAAACACATCTCGTGTTGACATTTATACATGTGAATTGACACGTTAGTGACATTTTAGTGGCTACACGGGCTCCGCCCACTCCCCCGTTCTATTATGTATGTATTATAGTGTTCTATGATAGAACCTATGCCCCTCGAGAAATACCCAGAGCGGCAAACATCATTAGGACGGGAGACATATGGTACAGGTATCGCCAATCTACCTACCGAGCAAGATGATTACGGCAACCTCTTTTTACCATCGCAAAATGTCAGTTCTCATAGTGGACTGCTTGCGGGCCGATAATGATGAAAGTTTCCAGTGTTGAGATTTGCTTATGAGATTAACCAACGCCTTAGTAGACAGTTGTTTACTACATTCCTCGTCTCGACTCTTCGGCAACCCGCGCTTGCGCACCAAATAATTTCCATTGGACTTCAGACTCTTAGCTAGCTACTTGCTCTTTAATACAAGATTTGCTATATCACTGCTTTGTTTAAATGTATTATTTTTTTCATGGCGTAAGTGAAAGGAACCGAAGCCTTGATCACACTAAACGAGTCCTTTCATCTTAGACCTTTTTTTTTGCTTTTTGTTTTTTTTTTTTTTTGCGGATGGAGAATCGTCTAATGACGCCTTTCACTCTGGGTGGAGCGTAAGGGAGTGTCAGACTTTTACTGACTAAAAACCATCCGTGTTCCTTCAGTGCCCTTACGTTCCGGAGCTGCGGTATCTCTTTCGAACAGCCCGCAGCCCCGGCAGATCTTAGACCTTAAGGGTGGCAACGCATCTGCATTGACAGGTAAGATGAGGATTTTTGGAGAAAGGACTTTTTTTATATTAATTCTTATATATGTGATGATAGGAGATGTAAATTTATATGGCCCGCATCATCCACTTAACATCAGGTGGACTGAGTTTTCATTTATCACCCTTATTCTAAAAAGAAACAGGGAGCCTTGGCTTCATATGAATTATCCAGCTTGAAAGAGAAAAAATCAGCCCTCATTTTATATTCGACAAAAATTAGTGATCGCGTATGATTATTAAACTAAGAAAGAAATAGCACAATTTAAAATAAATAGCATTTAACAGGATATTATACAACACGCACAAGATCTGAGGCATAGGAGGCTCACGGAAATCAATGTTCAAGCTATTGTAAGTGGTAGTATGATATGCTTGTTGCAGCTGTAACTGTTTGATGTAGTGGATGTAGAAGATATTCATTTATAGCATACAGTAGTTAGTAGCTTAGTAGTAGCATTATTATTGATGAATATGATTATTGTAGACAAATTAGCTATGCCATAGTTCACTCACAAAAAATAATTGTGTTTAACACATTGAACGGATCAACAACTAATAGACAAGACGGAATTAAATGTCAAACTACCCCAGGAGGGTACCAGCACCCCTGTAGAATCCCTCGCAGAGCATCCACGGCCAAGACTAGGGATCTTCAAGAAAAGAGCTTACTCCTTTCCAAAGAGCCGGCAAGGCACCTGCAATTCCCGTGGTGTTTAGGTTGATCATGGGCGGCGGTAGTCACTTAACATCAGGTGAGCCGCATGCTCGTTTGCCCCCTCTTCTATAAAAAAAATTGCTCAAGTACTGCATGTAAGTTAGTAAAGTCACATCTTATTATTATAATTAGTTGATTTAAATGTCAATATAAATTTATTTAAAACTAGCGATGCGCACCGGCTTCGCACGGGTGATTTTTGGATCTCGACAACAGCGCCACCTACAGGGTCCACTTGAGTTTTTAAACCATCCAGGGACCCATTCAAATACACACAAAAAATTCATGAAATTAGTTCGAGTCGTTTTCGAGTTTTAGTTTTAGCGAGACTAACGAATAGTAATTGATTTTTAATTTTCTATATATGTATAAGATATAAGAAGATTATCATTAGTTTGTTTAAAGTGGTGTGTCAATGTGTACTTTAAAATCAATTCTCAAAATCTGTGAATTAAATGAGACTGACCTGGACGATAATCATAATAATGTCCTCCAGTCCGGGAGGCCGGTTGTCTAGCGACAGAAACAAAATTACTGTGCACCAGTGTGCGCACAGGTGCACACTATTCCGTCACTTTCTCACTCTGGGCTGCTAATGAAACCGGGTCCACATGATCGGTTCATGATTGGCAGTCGCGCTTGCGTTCGGATCTTAACTACAATTCCAACTTAAAACACTAAAAATGCTCGGTAAAATGGGGTTAATAGAAACCACGGGATGAATAGAAAGAAACAGGTCTGGTTATTATTACATGTAAGTCTCAATGTTTTTCTACAGATCGGGAACGTGTGTTTACTTTTAACTGTTTGTTATATATTAACAATTTTTCTTTATCTTGGCAATCTTGAAAATTTTTGAGACATTTTATTAAATAATCAGACTTGTTTCTATTCACCCCGTTTTACGGTACGTAAAATAGCCATCAGATGGCCTAAATACAACTAATTTAATAGAAAGACGTAATATTGTATTCTGTCTATTCTCTCGCAGGCTAAATTCTATAGATATGTCTGATGACGAACATTTATGTCTTTTGTTAGTGGCGCTTTTTCGTTTCATCGAGTTTCAATTCACAACGATTCTAAGGAAGTTTTTACTTCAAAAAGTTCTCTTATGAAATTATATCATTGGAAATTGTTATGATTGTAATTGTGTTCGACTACATTGTATTCCTAATTTAACTAATTCATGTAAAATAATATTGAGTGCTTATCATATATTTTATAATTTAGGTTTAAAAGTTATTTAATACAAAAATAGTTAGGCTTTGAGAGTTGCTATGCCCTTGCAGGGTGTTGCATGTATAATATCAATAATATACCATCTTAACACATTCACTGTCTGATTTTCAGATATATATGTAATTCACGGGACAGTGAAAGGGTTAAATTAGTAATGTAATTGATAGAATCAGGCGTTACTTTGCGGAAATCCATTATAATAAAATATTAATAGTTATTTTGCAACCATCCGCTAAATTAACGAATAACGGGAATTAAATTAGCGGATGGTTGCAAAATAACTATTAATAACTTTATTAAATTAGTAATGTGACACGCAATAAACAATTATAATTTGTAGGATACGATAGCGAAGGAGCGCGCGCTCCGTCGGCAAACGCTGAGCGGGGGCGAGGCGGAGGGTGCGCGGCTGGCCAGCGCCGAGGCAGCGGCGGCGCGCGAGGCACGGTTGCGCGCGAACGCCGAAGCGCGCCTAGCCGCCGCCGACGGCGAAACCGACGCGCTGCGCGCCGACCTGGATGACGCCCGCGCCCAGCTGGCACAAGCACAGGTTAATGTTAATCACTACCTTTACCTACCTTACCTACCTGCCTCTATCACGTAATTACTTAATCTCAAAGTGGTGGGCACAGGCCTCTTCTCATTATTTGCTTAACTCAACCCAAAATATTTATATTCAAAATTAGAAAAATTGCACCTTTTATAAAATCAAAGTAAGGTAAATGCCACTGAATACTGCCTCTATCACGTAATTACTTAATCTCAAAGTGGTGGGCACAGCCCTCTTGTCATTATTGGTTTAACTCAACCCAAAATATTTATATTCAAAATTAGAAAAATTGCACCTTTTATAAAATCAAAGTAAGGTAAATGCCACTGAATACTGCCTCTATCACGTAATTAATTAATCTCAAAGTGGTGGGCACAGGCCTCTTCTCATTATTTGCTTAACTCAACCCAAAATATTTATATTCAAAATTAGAAAAATTGCACCTTTTCTAAAATCAAAGTAAGGTAAATGCCACTGAATACTGCCTCTATCACGTAATTACTTAATCTCAAAGTGGTGGGCACAGCCCTCTTCTCATTATTTGCTTAACTCAACCCAAAATATTTATATTCAAAATTAGAAAAATTGCACCTTTTATAAAATCAAAGTAAGGTAAATGCCACTGAATACTGCCTCTATCACGTAATTACTTAATTTCAAAGTAGTAGGCACAGGCCTCTTCTCCTTATTTGCTTAACTCGACCCAAAATATTTATATTCAAAATTAGAAAAATTGCACCTTTTATAAAATCAAAGTAAGGTAAATGCCACTGAATACTGCCTCTATCACGTAATTACTTAATCTCAAAGTAGTGGGCACAGGCCTCTTCTCCTTATTTGCTTAACTCGACCCAAAATATTTATATTCAAAATTAGAAAAATTGCACCTTTTATAAAATCAAAGTAAGGTAAATGCCACTGAATACTGCCTCTATCACGTAATTACTTAATCTCAAAGTAGTGGGCACAGGCCTCTTCTCCTTATTTGCTTAACTCGACCCAAAATATTTATATTCAAAATTAGAAAAATTGCACCTTTTATAAAATCAAAGTAAGGTAAATGCCACTGAATACTGCCTCTATCACGTAATTACTTAATCTCAAAGTAGTGGGCACAGGCCTCTTCTCCTTATTTGCTTAACTCAACCCAAAATATTTATATTCAAAATTAGAAAAATTGCACCTTTTATAAAATCAAAGTAAGGTAAATGCCACTGAATACTGCCTCTATCACGTAATTACTTAATCTCAAAGTAGTGGGCACAGGCCTCTTCTCCTTATTTGCTTAACTCGACCCAAAATATTTATATTCAAAATTAGAAAAATTGCACCTTTTATAAAATCAAAATAAGGTAAATGCCACTGAATACTACCTCTATCACGTAATTACTTAATCTCAAAGTAGTAGGCACAGGCCTCTTCTCCTTATTTGCTTAACTCGACCCAAAATATTTATATTCAAAATTAGAAAAATTGCACCTTTTATAAAATCAAAGTAAGGTAAATGCCACTGAATACTGCCTCTATCACGTAATTACTTAATCTCAAAGTAGTGGGCACAGGCCTCTTCTCATTATTTGCTTAACTCAACCCAAAATATTTATATTCAAAATTAGAAAGATTGCACCTTTTATAAAATTAAAGTAAGGTAAATGCCACTGAATACTGCCTCTATCACGTAATTACTTATTCTCAAAGTAGTGGGCACAGGCCTCTTCTCATTATTTGCTTAACTCAACCCAAAATATTTATATTCAAAATTAGAAAGATTGCACCTTTTATAAAATTAAAGTAAGGTAAATGCCACTGAATACTGCCTCTATCACGTAATTACTTAATCTCAAAGTAGTGGGCACAGGCCTCTTCTCATTATTTGCTTAACTCAACCCAAAATATTTATATTCAAAATTAGAAAGATTGCACCTTTTATAAAATTAAAGTAAGGTAAATGCCACTGAATACTGCCTCTATCACGTAATTACTTAATTTCAAAGTGGTGGGCACAGGCCTCTTCTCATTATTTGCTTAACTCAACCCAAAATATTTATATTCAAAATTAGAAAAATTGCACCTTTTATAAATTCAAAGTAAGGTAAATGCCACTGAATACTGCCTCTATCACGTAATTAATTAATCTCAAAGTGGTGGGCACAGGCCTCTTCTCATATTTGCTTAACTCAACCCAAAATATTTATATTCAAAATTAGGAAATTGCACCTATTATAAATTCAAAGTAAGGTAAATGCCACTGAATATCTGAATACTGGGACCGTAACGTTTAACTTTTTTAAGATTTAATTCATAACTTTAAAAAAGTTGATGTATTATCATCATTACAGTCCCTCACAAATCCAGTGCTGAACTAAAGGCTCCGCCAAAGAATGCCATGAAGCATGGCTCTGAGCCATATGCATCCGTCGGCTTTCTGCATGTCTTACCATATCGTCACTTCCATCTATTGAGGGGCCGCCTAACACTTTGCCTACCGCTACGAGGCTGTCGGTTCTTAAGCTGTTAGTAAACTGAAGAAGTAGTGAGCTGGCCATATAGCTAGAAAAATCGACAACCGATGGAGAAAAAAGCTTTCTCGAATGACAGTCTCGTACTGGTAGACAAAGTGTAGGGTGACCCCCCACTAAATAGAGTGACAACCTAGTTAAGACATGCAGGAAGTCGATGGATGCAGGTGGCTCAGGACCGTGCTTAGTGACATTCCTTAGGGGAGGCCTATGTTCAGCAATGGATTTGTGTAGGGCTGTAATGATGATGATGCTAATGAGATCATATTTTGGAAGTTTTTATGTTCTTCTGTGACGAGTCTTGCAGAACTTAACCCCAACCGCATGGACAGTTTCCACGAGCTTGTCATTCATATCGTCCACTGCATCACAGTCTTCTAGGCACTGAAAACGATTTTGTAACTCGAGCTGAAAGTTTTCGAAAGTCATAAACAGATCTCCCCCGCATGATCGGTTAAACGTGAACCGAGCCATTCGGCGTGGTAGGTGCTAAAATCGCCAAAGATCACGATCACTGCAGATAGGATCTGCTGTAGCACGGAATCTGTAGCCATTTCGATGTGGTTGATGAGTCGGTCTGTTTCGGTATTACCGCTATGGGACCTATAGAGGCACCCGTGACGCGGGGATGGTCTTCACTGTCTACGCGCAGCCATAGGATGGACAGCTCCGATGTCCTCTCTGACGTATACGCAAACTCCAGCCTGGGGCACAGAGGAGTGTTCTAATTTGTACCCGGGTAGGAGAGATATGAAGTATCAGCTGGAGAGGACACCTGAGTCTCGGTTAAAAAGAGCAAGGCCGGCTTCGCTGTCTCTAGATGGTGGTGGACAGCGTTAAGTTTGGAATGAAGTCTCCTGATGTTGCAAAGATTCACGGATAGCATGGCAGAGGTCGCCTTGGTGTTGTTGCTCCGCTTGCCCCGATCAGTTTTGGTCGCGAGCGAAAAGCGTTAGAATTTTCGGGGCAGTCTGAGCACCCACGCTCATGAAGAGTAAGATAACTTGTTCGTGGAACCACAGCGAGGGATTCTCCGTCATCAGGGGTGCTGGTACCCTCCTGGGGTAGTTCTTCTCTTAATTCCGCAACCATGTTGGGGGGGGGGAATTGGGCCTCCGGCTACCTGCACTCATCAAGCAAAACGCAGAGGTAACTCTACTTCACGCTGGATTATAAAGATAAAGCTATGAATATCAGGGGCAGTATTACGCTATGCTACTAGAAAAATTAAAAGATGCGATTAAAGAAAATAGAAGAGGAAAGTGGTCACGAGAGTCATGTTGTGATAGTTTCTTTGCTCAAGTGCGGCTTCAAAAGTGAACCACCCATCCTATAGTCCAGACTTGGACCCTTCGGATTATTATTTGTTCCCGAATATGAAAAAAGAGCTTCAGGGAAAGACATTTACAGATCAAGAAAAAGTGAAGTCGGTAATTTCTGCCTATTTTGAGGGCCTTGACAAAACTTTTTTTCGAAGGTATAAATAAAATATTTGAAGGTTCTGAGAGGTATATAAGTTTAATAAAAAATATATCGAAAAGGAAAAATAATTTCATGTTTAAGCCCTTTCCCTTTTATTCTGCGAACTTTTTCACCTCCCGTACGAAGGGACACTATAAATGACGTAACTTTAACAATGCCGAAAATTTATCAGACTTATATGTCCTCAACTTAGATTATAAATAAATTAATTAAGCCAAGAGAGACAAAAAATAAAAATGTTAATGTTCTTAACAATATGAAGAAGGTTTAATTTTATTTACGTTTTTTTTTTGTATGTAAGAGGAACACAAAGCTTGTAATTCTATAAAACAAATTTATTTATTTAAAAATATTTTCAGGAAGCCCTTAACGAAAAGCGGCGCGTGTCGGAGGCTGCGACTCAACAGTTAAACGAAGTACAATTGCAACTGACGCAGGAGCGTATGAAAACAAAGTCTCTGCTTGCCCAAGTTCAGGTAAAAATTATTTTTTATTATTTTACTCTTTTGTGTCTCATAAAATTTTAATCGGACATACAAGGTTATTTTTCAAAGAGTAGTCAAATTTTAAACTTAAGTTCATATATATATAAATAATGAGTTGAAAAAGCAGTTTTTGGAAATGCGAGTAAATAAGGCTTCTACTTTTATTTGAAATTATATTAAATTGAATGTGATTTATTTACAACAACGTTTTTGTTTACCGATTGACCCTTATGTATGTATGCGTGCGCAGTAAAATCAGTTTACCACGCATTCTAAAATTAAAAGATAAAAAGACAGAAAGTTTGAGATTTATTTTATAAATTTTTCTTCATCGTTTGCCTATATTACTTATTCTGAACCTTCTATGTAAAGAATCATGTCCAGTCAAGACAGGTCAGGTCAAGACCTGAAAATTTTCTATCGCGTTTAGAGATGTAAAATATCTTATAAAATTGCATTTTTTTTTCTTATTTCGTATCACATATTAACGTATTGAATTTTCAAATAAAGCCAGAAAAAAAAAGTTAAGTTACTTTATTTATCATTCTCAATAGACTTTTGGAGACGAAACGTGTTTTACAATGGCTCAAAGGTTCCAGAAGACATGCCAAAACGTGTTTACCCACGTTCCGTTTCAGACTACGAAAAACTTGCTCAATCGTCACGTGGTTTATGAATGTTCAAAATAACCAAATGGTTTTTTATAATTAATTAATTTATGATTAGATACCATTTTTAATGGTTTTGTACCACGGCGTGGAAAGAAAAATAAGTGTAGTGACCTTATCTGACAGCTGTTATAACCTCAAACTTTTATATAAATAAGAAGTCTAAATGAAAAGATTTTTATATAACAGTAGTTGTAGGTAGACGCGATCTGTTAAAGGAATCAAGTGGTCATTCAATGTATGGAAAGTGAACATGATTCTTTGGCCAGTTATTTCAAAATAGCCTTGTATAAATTATTTAATAATTAACAAATTTTTTTAAATAATGTTTATATTTAAAGGAAATAATATAACATTTTATTATATGTGAAGTTTATTTGTTCTTACGTAAGCAAGGTTTAACAGTTTTATGCTTTAAAAGCCCCTGGAAGCACATATTATTGTCTAAATTAAATAGAATAACATTCATAATTTATTCTAGTTTCTGATCGATTCTAACTGGAATAATATATTATTCATTATTTATGGTTTGTGAGGCCACACACTTTTTAGAGGTAGAGTTGTAGTTGTCGATGAGCACGTCAAAAGGAAAAGATCACCAAAGTTAAAAGTTTAATTAAAAGTGAAATAGTTAATAAAGTAAGAGTGGCAAATCTTTCCTTGAGTAATTGTTGTTTCGAAGGACGGTTGTTGACGTACTGCCGATTGTCAGTTTGCAATTAAATAAGTAAATTTAAATACACTCGACGCCCGGTTAAAAGTAGGTTGCAACATTTACTAAGTAAAAATGTGTGGTGTAACCGTACACATTAAATAGTTATAATAAGGCGTCGTACATGAACTTCTACGTTTTTGTTAAAGTGAGAGCTTTCACTGTTTTTTTAGGAGCTAGAGCGTGGCGTGGAAGAAGCGGCGCGTCGCGAGGCGGCACTGGAGGAGCAGTGCGCGCGCACCGAGGCGCGGCTGCGCGAACGCCTGGACGAAGCTGAGGCGCGCGCCGCGGCCGCGCTGCACCACGACTCGCACCTCAGGGAAAAGGTGTTATCATCGTCATCACCATCATTGTTGGCGCCATCTAGTTAATTTTATATAATGCATTTTTTCTAAATTTCCCTAAAAACCCTAAAAACCTTTCTAACAACCCTCCTTTAAATTCATATTTCGGGCGTTCGTTTTCCCCTCAATCGCACGCCTAGTATATATTATATATTGTGTCTGCAAAAGAAAGGAAGAAGCGTTAGTTCGTTTACGACTTGGCAAAACCTGTCTCCAGAGCGTGGAAGATCTGCGAAGACGGCGGCGATAAGATAGGCGTGCAATTCATTTCAATGAACGCCCTTTCTCTTAACCAGCATCCCTTTACAGTCCAGGATCGAAGGCCACAAGCTTTGCTATTTTTTAACTCTCTCCGCAACAATAATCATCATTTCTTTTTTTTAAATGTTACCAACACTAGAATTTTCTACTGTATCATTGAGGCAATTTACAAATATAAATTGTACAATGACAAACTTTCAGGCCTGGAACAATTGTTTTTAGGCCATACAAATACTTGTTTTGTGTGGGATTTGAACCTACGGCTCCCAGCATTGCAACTCATTGTTAAGCCATTGTGCCACAAAGCCATCAACACTGTTACCGTTTATCAAAGTCCTCTGCTGTATTTAGCTTTCCCCATAGATTGTCGTTGTAGATGTATGTATATTTTTTTGTGTAGTCAGATAAATGTCATATAAAATATTTCATTTATCAACTATATAATATAAAATATTTCTAAAGATAAGGGACTTTTTGCGGTGAGCAGAAACTAACATATTTTGGTTATCATCATTATTATTATCGTAAGCCTGTAAATTTAACAGTGGTAAACATTGGCCTTTTGGTTCGTAAATTGACTGAAATTTCTATCTTAACCCACACATAATTTGACATAAAAGTTTAATTAAGTCTTAAAATGTGATTTATTTTAGGTTAATAGCCTGGAGCAGTTAGTCCGTCAACTGGAACGCGAAGTGAGCGCATTAGAAAAACGTACGTGTGTGGGGTGCTTAGCGCGCGCAGAAGCGAATCCGGACGCGGAAGCGGACGGCGCGCGCGCCGGCGCCGCCAGCGACACCGAGAGCGCGCTCGACGCGCGCGCGCAGGCGCAGCTCAGCTTGTTGAAGGAGCAGCTGGAGCGCGCCGAGGCTCAACTGCAGGTGCGATTCAAACTATGCAGTGTAGAAGTAAGGAGTACCAACTCCCATAGTAGAATAGTTGAAAAAGTGGCCATCTGTAAGCAGTAAATAACGGTTCAAAAACTTTCCACAACAGCGCTGGAGTAGCTACTGGGATGAAATGAACTTAACAGTTGTCGACGGTTTGAAGTGTGCTGCTAAACTGCTCAGTAGCTCTAAAATCTAAAATAGTTTTATTTAGTAAATATAACCTCGAAAAAGTCGTCTATCCCACTAATATTTTTCGGTGCGTTCTTTAAAATTTACCCCGTAGTTATAGTGGCGCCACCCTTATTTAACTGTTTTCTATGGACACTTTTTCATACACAGTCTGTACTCCTTACTTCTACACTCCATAACTCAAACGATATAATAACAGATTAAATATTACATGATACTTATTGAAATTTACGTAAAAAGGAGACGGAAGAAACTGCACTGGTGCCCCCTTTTTTGCATCACTTGCTCAAATTACAATGGTATTGTTTCTAAATAATGAAAAAGACAAACAGCAATGGAAGCATATTCCTTGATAAAATAAAATTGAACACAAAATTAAAGCTAATCAATAACAATCATTAGCAAAACCGACGACTTATTACTGGAGCATTTCAACATTTATCTCTGTCATTACAAATAAATTATTTAAAAGCCGAATATCTTCCTGTCAGAGAGCAGGTGTCTAAATATAACTTTACATAATATGGTTCTGATATTCGTCTTATTTTTTAATTTTGTTTCACCTCACCCACGGTCATGCTATAGTTACAAATTTTCTTACGTTATCAAACGATAAATTGTGAAAATAAGTTTATGTCAGGCAAGCTGAAAACAGCACTTATCGCGCACCGTACGTCCTGTCGGTAAGGTCCGCCGCTCGGATTATTTTACCGTCATTTTTCGAGACCTACAAGATCTTGTAGGAGGTTTTCGAAGTAGAGTTTTACGAAACAACGTAAATTGATGGATTTTTTTAAACTGGTACAAACTGGTACACATGGTAGTAAATATCATAGAAATAAATAAATAAATGTTTAGGCAATTTTCATTGTTCCATTCAGATATATTTAAAGTAATAGTTTTAATGAATTCAGCAATTAATATATTTCAAATAAAATATATTATAAATTGACAAAGAATCATATGTCAGAGATTCAATAAAAGAAATGGAAACTCTACTTTCCTTATTAGAGCTCATTTCTAATCTACTTGTATACGTACCTCCATTTTTGTGCCTTATCTTTGAAATACTTACGACCTTTGACAAAATAATTATTGTGATTTTTCCTGCACAGGCTCGAGCCGAAGAAATTGCAACATTGCGTCAAGAAACTCGCGCAGCTAATTTAGCGAAATGGCGTAAGGTAGCGTATTATTTTACTGTTTACGCTTCATTTATTTTTCCTTAACCATAAATACACAATTAGTAAGACATACAAACACAAAATGATTAGATTTTGGTTTTTTAGTGTTAACAAATAAATTATATGCACAGTGTTGGGTCACCCCTCCACAACGACTAACGACAGGATCAAACTCAAAAGCATTTCAATAAAACATAAATAAATATTTCATATAAATGTAAAGTCAGCGTACTCTTTCTTTACCGGACTGATCCTCCGAGATATTCGCGCATGTACGAAATGGTTAGAGATGTGGCAATTCATACTTGTATTAACTCCTAAGATTGCTTAGGGAAACGGTTTATTTTGCTTATATCGATTACAATAAATTGAAAATTGTTTATTTTTTATTAAAATATTTAATGCACACCATTATAATTACTGTATTAAAACGCCATTTACACGCCAAATAAAAATAAATAAAAAATAAAATAAAATTATATTCGATAAAAACGGTATTAGACTATGTACGTAATTGTAACCGTGCAATATGCGTATTCGTAGTTACCGCCCGCACTCTCCCCGCTATTTGTCACTATTTTGTTCTTAAAAACTATCTGCGTAGCCACTTGCAATTAACTTCAGGCCGGTCAAGATAAACGGCGAATTTATTTTTAAATAAAATTGGAGTAAATATTGGTAATAATTTTCAAAAAATTACATTGGAAAAAGCCTACTTATAATACTTGATGTTTAATTAAATATTTTTTCTCTTTTTTACATGAAACTGGAGCGAGAAACAAACTTACAGTTTATTTGATGGTAGGTGGCTACTGAAATTCTTGAAAACCTGCAGCTAACTTAAAACAGAAGGCTACAGATGCAGTGTCACCTCTTAGGAATTCGATGGAATGCCTCACAGCCTTTTAGACCGTAAAATGACAGTGCCTAGCACTGCCATTAAGCGGTAGAAATAGGTAACACCGTGGGGCCTACTCAAGCAGACTCCTAGCCAGATCAGGAGTCCACCGCCACATAGTGAACACAATCTAATGAAAAAAAAATATTAAATGAAATACATTTTACAGGAGCGTGAATATAATGAGTTATCTATGGATGCAAAAGCAACGGCTCGGGAGTTGAAACGTGCTGAAGAGCGTCTCTCGGCAGTGTTAGAGGCTCGCAAGGCAGCTGAACAGAAAGTCTCTGCATTGCAAGCAGAGATTAGTTCACTGCGCCCGGAACACCAGCAGGCGAATGCAGAACTCCTCACCTTGAGGGATAAACTGGCGAAGCTGCAGAAAGACAATGAGGCTCTGCAGAATGAAGTAGACAGGTATCATTTTATAAAAAGTAATAATTGACAGAATGAAGTTGCTATCAAATGCTTCGGTTTAAAACTTAATAGTTCAGTGCCTTGTTTTGAGACAGATTGCAATATATACAACATGTACCAAAAACCCTGTGTTTCTCGTTAACTGCGTTACAGAATTATTATCCAAGCGTATAGAAATAATTTTTTTAAAACATTTAAAAAAAACTATATTAATGGAAAAAAATAATTTGCAAATTATATGTGGTTTTATTTCCTCTAACTCACACGAGTATCGGTAATGCGGGGTCTTTGACTATCGTGTTACTCCTCGGCCAATGCAGATATAATAAAACCACATACAATTTGCAAATTAATTTTTTTTTCATTAAAATAAAAAAATTAAATGTTTTTTTTTTTTTGAATAAAAAATATTTCTATACGCTTGAACACTGATTCTGATAACGCACTTAACGGGTACCACAGGGTTTTTTAGGTTACATGTTGTATATATGATGTAGGAGAGTGGTGCTCTTCAAATCAGCTAAGATACAATATTATGTTTTAAATACAAACTTAATAAATTAACGGAAACCTTTATTATTAAAATTTATTAATTATATAATTTATATGTCATTTTTGATTCCGAATACATTGGAACGACTGGAATAGATCGCGTTATACATGCACACTAGCATAAAAGCATGCCAAATATTGGTAAAAAGGAACTACTGGCATGTGTGTCGAGATTCTGTACTTAGCTTACGTGCCAGTACAACATTGTTTTTTTCTTTGCTAGGAAATAGACAACAAGGCTAGCAGCATACCAGCTACAAATTTGAAGGTGGTTTTAGTAGACTTCTGGGTCTCTCGGATTTCAATTAGTAAATGCTCACATGTTCCATGCAGTGCCCCACTTATAATCTCTTTTTGTTGTATTTCTTTTGTGTCTATTACATCTTGCTATCAAAAAGTTCTTTATTATTATTATTACGAGCTGCATTGCAATGCTATTTAAGATATCTTCTTTCTTTAGTCTTTTTCATAAAGCACCATTTTCGTTTTACTTGTGCTTACTATTTCTTTCACTTTTTTTTTAATTTTTTTTTCTTTTAATGATATGTTCTCCAATGTAAAAATATATTGCAATTTGCCGAACTACGCAAATGCATTAAATGGTCTGTGTACAAGAGGCGTTTGACGGCGAAAAGAAACCACGTCTCAGATCCATATGTAATCACTGTCATATGTTTTGAGGCGTATGTGATGAAATTATGTGTAAATACGACGAATTTATGTTAGAACACCAGTATATCCCGTATCCACAACTGCGCTCCTTATTGTTCTATCCACAATTACGAAATCTATCATGTTTCTATCTTTTCCGCTTTTCCATGTTTTCCATGGAACGAAAGGAAGTGTTGTACTAAAATTTTCTTTAAAATGAATCTGTACACAATTCTTTGGATGTTACAGGTCGCGTAACGATATACGCAAGTTAAAGAGCGAGTTACAATACAGCGAGAAGCGCCGGCTTCACGCCGAAGAACAGGAGGAACTGTCGAGCCGTGAACGCGCGCAACTCCGCGACGAGCTCACTACTCTCCGGGTACAAAACAATGACCTAGTGATGGTTGGTAAAAATAATAAAATAATTTCATTATTTTAGAAAAAATTACAACATCCATTTGCATCTGCGCCTGAACTAAACAATAAGTTTGTATCTTAGGCGACAGTGCCCTTATCTTTTAGGACAGTGTTTCCTATTTTTTCGAAATTAAGAATAGACTTCGTAAACATATGAACAATATTATTTTTTAAGTATGTAAAATGAGTGCATGCGTGCGTGCGAAATTAAGGTTGGTAATAGGGATGAAAGTTCAACTTCTTCTTTATTTTAAAAGTAAAGTAAAGTTACAGCCTATATACGTCCCACAGCTGGGCTCAAGGCTCCCATCATTTCTGAGAGGGTTTAGGGCAAGGAAGTGTCCGCCGCGCTGCCCAAATGCGTGTTGATGAACTTCACATGTCTTCGAAATATTTTTTTTTCTTATTCCTCAGACATGCAGGTTTCCTCACGATGTTTTCCTTCACCGCCGAGCACGTGGTAAATCAGCACTTAAAATTGCAATTAACAATTTCATTGGTGCCGGCGGGGATCGAACCCGGGTTACTCGCGTTCTGTTATATTTACAGCGAGCGTTAACCACTGAGCTACCACGGCTCTTCTTTATTTTACATATTTATTATTGCATACATAGTTATATAATAAGACAAGACATCCAAATAATTGACCTGTTCGAATTTGCTAATAGATTAGGGGCGTATTTATAGAGAATAGAAGACTAATAGATTTTCCCGTTATTGTTCAATGGCTTTCAACTAGTAATTAGTCCTTTACACGATACATCTGTAAACGATCCAATACTGAGTTTAGGCTAACTATAAAGGGATTTTAGACAGGAGGCCTTAGTAGAGGGGGCCAAAAAATTTTCATAGCATTTAAATAACTGAATTTACTCCTATAACACTCACGAGAAGTGATGTGGTGCCTGGTGGTGGGTGAATCACTTACACTTCACCACGTGCCGAATGGATGAATATTTTATTTTCATATTGGAATACCTATTTTAAATAATTGTTTAACCTGATAATAAATTTTCATAAAATATTTAACACGCAATTGCTTTTTTAATATAAGCCAGCCAATCTTAATAAAAATATAAATCCAGAAAACCTGTATAACTTTAACATAAGATTTTTAAACCTTCCGCTGAATGAAATAAAGTGATTGCAAAAGACATTCGTGACTATTACCTAAAAATGACTTGGTCAGTTTATGGAATTTGCTTACTCTATTTGGTTAAAAATAATTTTCCGAATGTATCCATAAACATTAACCCTATCTCATAAGTTAAAGTTACAGCCTACACACGTCCCACTCCTGGGCACAAGCCTCTGCTCATTTCTGAAACGGTTTTAGATAAAGGAATTGTCCGCCGCGCTGCCCCAATACGTGTTGGCGAAATTCACATGTTTCTGAAATATACTTTTTCTTTTTTCTCAGACATGCAGATTTATTCACAATGTTTTCCTTCACCCCCGAGCACATGGTAAATCAGATATATATATTTTTTTTTTTTTTTTTTTTTTTTTTTTTTTTATATATATATATATATATTCGCGGTATTCACATACCATTAATAGCGAATTTTGTTTATTGTTTACATAAACAAGTGGTCAGATGATTCCATTCATCAATTCTTTAATGTATTGTGTATTTAGATATTTGTAAACATCACAGTCATCTTTAGCCCGCGATTCCATTGTTAACTTGTTTCATGTCAAAGAAACGCGAGTATCGGACGTGTTAATATGTGAAAAAAATCTTGATAATATTTTAGAAAGCTTATGAAATGAAAATGTATATAATTTGTAGTAAAAATCGCTTTTTGATGTTCTCTTTTGTATTTTAAAATACATACGCACTATTTGAAGCATTCAAAATTATATAAGAATCTCGTATTAAAAAGAAAATTGCGGATAAAAAGAATACTTTATAAGCTACCTTTGCGATGGAGTCTCTTCAGAATCGTTGTAAAGTTAAAGTAACGGGAGAGAAACCGGTCGTGAAACCTAAGCCCGCATATCTTAGAGTCGCGGGGCCTAATCCGTGGACACAACGTATGCGGTTAGCTTTAGCCGCGGACTTGCTACGGGGTCGCTGCCGCGCTGTCGACACCACACTTTCAGCCATACACACTCATTTGAAAACGGTATAATATTCGAAATTATTTACTCGACTTTAAAAAAAATTTTTATCTGTTAACGATGTAAAACATTGACCAGGAAGTGTAATCTACATTCATATACATATTTTGAGTTTTGATATTTATATTTCAGAATAATAAGGCTTTACAAGAAGCTTGCAGTTTATTAGAAGACCAGCTGACAGAATTAGAGAAAATAACAGACCTGCATGAAATTAAAAACAAGGATCTCGAGGTGAGGTTAATCCTATTATTCATTATAGTTTTCTAATCTTAAAAAGACTATAATTGTCACCGCGCAGATTATATTAGTAGTATAGTTGTTCACAAATGGGTCGGTTCGACCGGGGAAGGACCACGCTTTCACAGGATACCAGTGTGAAATAGTAACTTAATGCTGTATTTCGTATGGTGAGTGTAGAGAACCGGAGACCCTTTTTACTGGAAACGAAGCACTCTATCTTAGTCCTCACGGGTGACAACGCATCTGCATTTCGATTTGTAATTGACGATAGATGTAGATGTTTATGGGCCAAAGCAACCACTTATCATCAGGTGGACTGTGTGCTCGTTTGTCACCCTATCCTATAAAAAAAATTCTTTCGATACTGCCGATATCCAATTTAGGGAGAGATTTTATTAGCTACCAAACAAAATTATAGAAATTATATATAATATTCATTATGGTTTTATGAATTCATGTATGTTGTGGCCAGGAATCGTCACTCTAGTTACCTGCATGACGTAAATACTAACAATCGCAAGGAACCTTGGCTGGCTTTCCACTATGGAATATAATATATATTATAGTGTGCGTTCGTCATTGGCCGATTTGAGGAAGTAGCGGAGGTGCGGAAGGGTATGCGGGGTACAGGAGGTGAAATATAATATTGAAATATAATATGAAAATATCGCTCGATCGATCGAAAAAATATTTATAGTTTGGGATGTAATATATATTATATCTCAGTGGAAACGGTTCCAAACGGCAGTCTCGCTCGTGACGTTGTACGAAACAGCTGACTTCAGTTGACTTGTGTTTACGTTTACAAAGTTCTTTTTTCTACCCTTAGTTTGAAATTATAGTAAAAACACGCAAAAATGCCCAAGTGTGACAACTGTGACAAACTAATAGCCAAGAAATCCACTATTCTCGAGTGCAATACATGCTCAAAAACTGTGCATGCTACCCAGGCCTGCACCAGACTAACATCTAAGCAATTAGCAGCACTGCGCAACACTGAGAATCTGGAATGGACCTGCGAAGTTTGTCGCCGTGAAACTCCAAGGCAAAGGTCATTTGTCATACAAGAGGAGGAAGAGGAAGACGACGAAGAACTATTATTAACACAGGGAACTGACAGCGGATCCAACGCGATGAGAAAGTTACTAAGCGACATATCATTCGAGGTTAAAAAAGCAGTAAAGAAATAAGCTCAGTAAATGAAGCGCTCAGCTCTTGTTGTCAAAAAATGGATGGATTAATGGACACTTTAGCGACAATTAGCGGAAAAATAAAAGAACTGGAAAACAAGAATACATATTTAACAAACCAAAATAAACATCTAGAGCTGAAAATCGATGCTATGGAACAATACATTGGAAACCTTGAGCAAAAACAGCTTAATAACACATTTGAAGTCGCAGGAGTACCCGAAATAAAAGACGAAAATACGGAAATTATCCTAAATACACTAGCAACGAAGTTAAATATTGTAAAAAAAGAAATAACCACAGTTAAAAGATTGAAGGGGAAAAATGGAAAGGAGGGCGTAATCCAGGTATCTTTGAAACAGGAGGAACAAGTGGACCAGTGGATAAAAGCAGCAAGAAAAGTAACTATACTTGCAGAGGACATCGTTTCCTGTCCAGATCCTGCTATAGCAAGAACAAAGATAATGATACGACGTGCCCTATCCAGTGCAAATAAAACCCTTCTGTGGCAAGCTAAGCAAAAATTTAAGGTTACTTATAAATATATGTGGTTCCAGGGCGGTAGAATTTTAGTTCGTAAGAATGATAACGATAAGCCTGTGATCATCCGAAACCTAAGTGACATTGACAAAATGGCGGTGGAGCATATTGTAAGTCGATAGTAGAAACTTTACGCACTAGGCACTACTTTGGAAGTAACTGAAATTTATGATTCGGCAAATTTATGTGAATTTAGCACCTATCTATCTAAACATACTAATCTTTTTAATATTGTACATATAAATATTAGATCTATTATCAAAAACTTTAGTGCATTACTGCAAACAATAAACCAATCACCAATAGCTAGTCTAACTGAAGTAGGAATTTCAATAAGTAGTAATCTCTCTCAATTATTTTCTATAAACGGTTATGAAATGTGCAGCAAGCTTCGTGAGCAGCGACGTGGTGGTGGTATTATAATGTACATTAAAAATTGCCACAGTTTTGAAGTAGTAAACAACTTAAAATTAACCCACTGTGAATCATTAATTGTAAACATCCAATCTTGCCACCACTACACGACTCACATTTGCGCATTATATCGACCGCCTAATGAAAGCAAGCATCTCTTTATTAATGAACTTAAAGTACTATCCTATGTCACAATTTAATCAAACACTCTGACTTGTACATAATCGGAGACATAAATATTGACCTGGAATTAAAAAATAACATTCATGATTACTACTTAAGCTGCTTGGCCGAGTGTGGTCTGACGAGAGCGATTTCTGATTTTACAAGAATAGAGATTCGAAATGAAAAAATCGCAACAATTCGCAGTGCAAGTTATTTCTTATGGCATTACAAGTTATGGAAAAACATTTAAAACTTACTTAGATAAAATATATAACCTACAAATCAGAATGTTGAAAATAATTATACCTAAGAAAGTAAAAACAAAAATATACAGTGAAAACAATATTAATGGAATATTTAAATTTTGCAAAGTATTACCTATACACACGAAATTTCAGATGCTAATACTAATAGAACAATTTCACAATAAAAAAGTTCAAGTTAAAACTAACCATAAAACTATTACAAGAAAAGTTATACAAAATAAACTCGTAACATTTAAAATATATAACTACTATGGTAAACGTACAAATAGATATTTAATTCCTACTTTAATGAACCAAATACCCCCCACGATACTCTCAGATATCAATGAAGATAACTACAAAAACAAATTCAAAAAATATTTCTATGAACAGCTACAACGGGAGTAAATAAATATTAAATACAAAATTATATAATATACTTATAAAATCATCAATTAATTGTTCTAATTTTTATAAATATATGTACATATAGCTCTTATATTTATAGATTAAATATGTATACTTGCAACTGAAATAAAAACAAATCAAAAATGAAAAACTATAAATAATGATAAAAAAAAGATCAATTCACAGTTTTTGCACCAACCTGTATACTGCTTCTGCAACTAAATAATCCGATCGCCCGATAAGAACGATCAAATTGTCACGCTCACATTCGTGGGCTCACAGAAACCGGTTTTTCTGTCAATACGGCCCGTCCAGAACGCCGGTGATTTGCAATTACGGTGATTTGAAATTTATCACTTAAAAATATGTACGTATATACTTAATATTATTGTTACTGTTTATAAGCAGCCATCAATTAGATGATTGTATTAATAGTTTGTATAATGTATGTGATTGTACTATACCTTTAATTGTGTGAGACTGTAACTTACGGACAAACCTCACGGTTTTTGCAAGTTAATTACATTTAACTCATGTATTTACTATAATGATATAAATAAATTAAAAAAAAAAATTTAAAATTACGGTGAGCTATATTAATTTATATCTCGAGATGTAATATAAATTATATTATATCCAATAGTGGAAAGGCCTTAGGTTACAAACGCAGTCAGTGAGGGGGGGGGGGAGACGCAAAGCCACACGAATTCTAGCGCGCAGCGTTTTAAGTTTAAATTAGCTTGCGTGCGTGATTTATCCAATATGTAGGCTATTAAAACGTCTGCATGTAATCAACATCATATATATTCTGTACTTGTTTTATTTGACATTTTCTAAAACGGAAGTATTCCACTTCAATTGCTCGAATTTATACACGTCTAAATAGAATAGGAACAATTGACTAACCAATGAGTTTATCGGTTTACTTATATTTAAAAAATTACCTATCTAAAACAGATCCTTATTGATATTTCTGTTATCTTATACTAATAAAAATTTTACCAAAAAATTAACAAGTTGTTATTATGTACAATTTAAAACTTAAAAAAATATTTTTAATCAATATAAGAATATTGAAACGGTGCAGACTTGCGTTTATCTTTTCTGTTAATTGCCTACATAATTTGACAAACTCAAATTTACACGACCTTTTGGATCCTATAGGAGGCTCTTGCCATCCCTTTCTTACATATACACGATTTTTTAATGAGAAAGGGGGCTAACGAGTATACGGTTCACCTGATGTTAAGTGACTACCGCCACCCATATCAACCGGAACACCAGGGGAATTGCAAGTGCGTTGCCGGCCTTTTAGAAAGGTTGTATCGGTCCGGAAAAATCGCCGGTGGTAAACTATTCCACAGAGAGGTTGTACGCGGAAGAAAACTACTAGTGAAACCTACAGTGGTGGACCGCCAAGCATCCAAATGGTGTGGATAGTATCGTGAGGTTTGCCGCGTAGTGCGTTCATGAAATTTGGCGGCTGGGATTAATCCAAACAATTCCTCAGAGCACTCCCCGTGGTAGATGCCAAAGAAAATGCAGAGATGCAACATCTCTTCGCAGCGCCAGTGAATCGAGCCGATCGGAAAGCACTCGGTCGTCGACTCTGCGCTGGATGCGGACAAGTGGAAGGAGCTGGCACTGGGGAGCACCAGCCCAGAGATGTGGACAGTATTCCATGTGAGGCCGAACCTGCGCCTTGTAAAGTTGCAGGCCATGACTGTGCCGGCATGAAATACTGTCCCGCTCTGCTGAGCACGCCAAGGTTTTTAGAGGCCAATTTGGCCTTCCCTTCCAAGTGACCACGAAACTGCACGTCACTCGATATGTCGACGCCGAGGATTCCGATATTGGCTGAGGCAACAAGGGGAGTGCCTTGAAACTGAGGAGATACGACAAAGGGTTTTTTTTAGCGGTAATCGCACAAACTTGTATCTTCTTAGGGTTAAACTGGACTAGATTTAGTTGCCCCCAATCCGATACTTTGTTCAGCAAAGACTCGACTTCAGTCACAAGTTTGTCCCGGTCCTCGGAGACGTTTTTCCGAGAAATATTGGTACAGCCGGTGTACAGAGCATCACTAGTGCTGTTATCCACATAACAATGAATGTTACCGATTTGCAACATACAATTGATATGCAGGAGAAACAGCGTTGGTGGTTGATGATGAAGCACGCACCCTTGTGGAACACCAGCATTAATAAATAGGCTTGTAATCGGAGCAAACATCGTCTACAACGACCTTGATGCTCTGATATGCAAGAAAGCTGGTGATCCAATTTCGCAACTTCTCAGAAAGCCCATAGGAAAGGAGCTACGACAGAAGCACTTTGTCCCAAACCCGATCGAAGGCCTCCGCAATGTCCAAAGTAAAAGCCAATGCCTTGGACTCTACTGCCTCTGCTCATCAATGAGTCAGGTAGACCAGAAGATCACTAGCTGATCGATCCCGACGAAAACCGTATTGGCGGTCACTAATCAGCTGGTGATTCTCAAGGTACCACATGAGCTGACTTCATTCTAGCTTACTCTCCTTCTCTAACATATTGTGTTATATGTAACATATATAGGTACTAGTATTTGTTATCAGTGACTAAATATTATAATTACTTGTGATCTTCTGGTCTACTTAACTCACAGATGGGCGGAGGCAGTAGAGTCCAAGGGGGAGGCATTGGCCGTTAGTTTGGACATTGCGAAGGCCTTCGATCGGGTTTGGCACAAAGCGCTTCCTTCGAAGCTCCCTTCCTATGGGCTTCCCGAGAAATTGTGCGATTGGATCACCAGCTTTCTTGCAGATCGGAGCATCAAGGTCGTTGTAGACGGTGCAAGCTCCGATTGCAAGCCTATTAATGCTGGTGTTCCACAAGGCTGCGTGCTATCGCCAACGCTGTTTCTTCTGCATATCAATGATATGTTGCAAACCCGTAACATTCATTGCTATGCAGATGACAGCACAGGTGATGCTCTTTACACCGGCCGAGCCAATATTTCTCGGGAAAACGTCTCCGAATGCCGGGACAAACTTGTGTCTGAAGTCGAGTCCTTGCTAAACAGAGTCTCGGATTGGGAGCGACTAAATCTAGTCCAATTTAACCCCCAGAAGACACAAGTTTGCGCGTTAACCGCTAAAAAAAACCCCTTTGTTGTATCTCCTCAGATTCAAGGCACTCTCCTTGTTGCCTCAGCCAGTATCGGAATCCTCGGCGTTGACATATCGAGTGACGTGCAGTATCGTGGTGACTTAAAAGATAAGGCCAAATTGGCCTCTAAAAACCTTGGTGTGCTCAGCACAGCGGGACTATTACATGCCGGCTCTACACTCCGCTTGCAACTTCACAAGGCGCAGGTTCGGCCGCACATGGAATACTGTCCACATCTCTGGGCTGGTGCTCCCCAGTGCCAGCTCCTTCCACTTGTCCGCATCCAGCGCAGAGCGGCTCGAATCGTCGACGACCGAGTGCTTTCCGATCGGCTCGATTTACTGGCACTGCGAAGAGATGTTGCATCTCTTTGCATTTTATTTCGCATATACCATGGAGAGTGCTCTGAGGAATTGTTCGGATTAATCCCAGCCGCCAAATTTCGTAAACGCACTACGCGGCAAACGTCCCAATACCATCCACACCATCTGGATGCTTGGCGGTCCACCACAGTACGTTTCAAAAGGAGTTTTCTTCCGCGTACAACCTCTCTGTGGAATAGTTTACCACCGGCGATTTTTCCGGATAGATACGACCTGGGGACCTTCAAGAAAAGAGCTTACTCCTTTCTAAAGGGCCGGCAACGCACCTGCAATTCCCGTGGTGTTTAGGTTGATCATGGGCGGCGGTAGTCACTTAACATCAGGTGAGCCGCATGCTCGTTTGCCTCCTCTTCTATAAAAAAAAAACATTAAGTAAACCTTAATCAAAAGTGCTTAAAGCGAATAAAACATTTTTTATAGGATAAAGCACAAATGAGCACACAGTCCACCAGATGTTAAGTGTTTTTTTTTTTTTTATAGAAGAGGGGGCAAACGAGCATGCGGCTCACTTGGTTGGTTGCTGTGACCCATAGACATCTACATCGACTGTTAAGAGTTTTAGGGTCTATATTCGTATAGCAAGTGACTCGGAAAAGAAACTACGTGTTTATGTTATGACCGTTTACTTGAGACTAAAATTCAAGAAATGCACACTATGCAGTTAATGTCACCTTGCGACTTTGACATCGACCTTCGTTTACGAATCGAAATGCAGATGCGTTATCACCCGTGAGGACTTAGATGGAATGCCTCGTTGCCAGTAAAACGGGTCTCCGATTCTCTACACTCACTATACGAAACACAGTAGCTTTAAGAGCGCATATTCAAATATGTCTAAGTCGAAATCTACGCGATCGCTTTGGAACGGCGTAATATTGACGCACACTACAATGTTATCTCTGTGTGCGTGTCAGGGCGAGCGCTCGGCTAGTTGCCCTAACGTCTTGTTTTTTTTTTTTGCACGAATCATTTTGATACTATTGGAACTAAAAGAATAAAAAATAATTTCCACATAATGGCTGATGTAGTGTATAGAAATCTGAGGCTAATATGTGGAAATTATATTATTCTTTTAGTAAATTTAAGTCTGCTTTACATTTTCACCCTACTGAATATATTATAATATATGATCTAATTGAAAGATATGTATTATATAAAATATATATCATTTGATAAAATTTTATTCTGTTTCATAATGTAAACATAATGCATCAAACTAACAATTTCATTAGTGTCGGCGGGGATCGAACCGGACTCGCGTTTTCGACGAGCACTTCGCCCTTGAGCTACTCAACTCAAGCACGGATCATATTTTTTTATGTCTTTGTTTAATCATAACGTTATCTCCACACTAGAGGCAGTTTAAATACATTAATTTCACAAGGACAAACATCCAGACCCGGAACAATTATTTGTAGGTTACACAAAGTTTTGTTCCGTGTGGGATTCCAACCGAGATTTACGCGACTGTTCTTCAAAACGATTTTTTTTTGTCTGAAATAATAAAATAAATAAGTAAGGACATAACTGTAGTGGTCTAAAAATTAAAACGAAATAAGCCTATTAGATATGGCAACCGCAATAGAAAAGACAATACAATATTGTCACCTAATAAAAAAAAACTTTATTATTTATAAATTAGTAACTTACCTTTTTATTTGCCTGGTTAAAGCCAATGATTTTGTATTTTTACTAGATCCGAATTGTTTACGATTATTACCCATTTCTAAAAAAATATGTATGAAATGTAAATTTGCCACTATTACATCATTTAATATTTAAATATTGCCATTACCATAAACATGTTTCAAAATTACTTACTACCAAAAATATCTCTTAAAAGTCTCAATAGTTTAAAACTTTAAAATGCTCGATGGTTCTATAGATAGCTAGTTATACTATAGTGTAGTATAGCCCTATCGTTGTATCAACGTGATCGCAAGGTGTCGGTGAGAAAAAGTAATACGTCCTATTTTTGGGATTACCCAGAAAAGAAAAGGATGCATAGTCCGAAATAATTTTAATTCTCTGATTTAATTTTAATTAATGAATTTAGAAAATAAAATTCACTTATCTATGAAAAGTGATGCCATTTTTTTTGAACTTACACATTTGGCTACTATTTTATTGTACAGGGAACCATGTTGCGTGTCTGTTGTATTTTATTTTGTCGAAAATTCACGAGTCACATGCAAGATGTTCACGGGTCAGGGAAGTGGTCGCTACTAAAGTAGATCGTGCGATCGTTTTCTTAAGTAAGACGTATTTGTCTATCGTGTTGACAGAAAGTGTTTGCCTTGCGTGAGGCGTCTATTCGGGCTGTGTAGTCGTTGACAGTTAGTATGGTTTCTTAAGGCGTGTTGTAAGGAATTGTAAATATCTGCGTTTAGACTAGATATCTTTACGTTTTGAGAATCTTCTGCGTGTTTTCTCAACTTTATTGCACGCATGACGTATCTTCTCAATTTCATTGTTTGTCTCTGTAAAAAGTTTTCTTTGTTGAAGAGGAATTTAAGTGTCTTATAAGAAGGCGCAATTTAGTACATAAATTGCTTAATAGTTGATTTCTAAATTCGATATTTTCAACTTTTACATTTTTATAGGGATTGCTACACAATTTTTTTATAAGGCTTGAATCCAAATAAAGTATGGTGGTTGATCCAATCGCTGATTACTTGAAAAACAACGAGTCAATTGTGAAGTAGAATTAGTGTTGTTGGTTGGCCTTAGCATTGAGTTTAATAAGTGTAAGGCATATTTTACATTGACGACAGAGCGAGACGCAGCGCATGCGCAGTGAGTTGGAGTCGTGCCGCGCGCGGCTGGCGGAGGCGGAGCGCATGGGCGCTGAACGCAACGCGGCGGCCGGGCTCGCGGCGCAGCGCGGCGACGAGGCACGCGAGCAGGCGCGCGCCGCGCACGCACAGTTGCAGCTGCTGCGCGTACGTACACACGCACACACACACACACACACACACACACACCATCTCACGCCGCGCACAATTACATAGCGCGTTATATGACTATTGTATCACACGAACAATAATCACTGTTCATGAAATAATTTATACTAATGTATGTACGTTGTATACTATAATATACTGAAAAATATTTTATAAGCAAGGTGACACTAGATTCGTCGACATTAACTCTTGCACTCATAATGGGCACGCGTTACGCGTAGGAGCGTCTGGAGAACCGCGAGGCGCGCGTGGCGGAACTGGAGGCGCGCGTGGCGCAGCTGGAGGGCGAGAGCGCTGGCTCGGCGGCAGCGCTGGCGAGTGCGGCGCGCCGTCTGCGTGACCTGCAGGAGGAGTGCGCTGCGCTGCGCACGCGCGCGCACCACCACCACGCGCAAGCGCTGCAGCTGCAGGCCGCGCTCGCAGACGCACAGGTGCACACACACACACGTACATACTGAACGACGTGCAGGAGGAGTGCGCCACGCTGCGCACGCGCGCGCACCACCACCACGCGCAAGCGCTGCAACTGCAGGCCGCGCTCGCAGACGCACAGGTGCACACACACACTCACGTACATACTGCGCGACCTGCAGTGTGTGCACACATACACACACACACACACACACACACACACACACACACACACACACACGTACATACTGGGCTACCTGCAGGAGGAGTGCGCCGCGCTACGCACGTGCACGCACCACCATATGTTGGGGGGCCAAAATGAAAGGCCCAAAACGCGCGCACGCTCGCATAAATTAAAATAATTATATATTGATTAAAGTGAATAATTACTATTAATACTCCTAGGAACTAAGGTAGCCAAACAATTCAAATCAAATATACACTTTTCTTGTCTTGTTCGGCGAACTTAATAAGTCGGGGGGAAAAGCTTTTTCGTATTTTATACATTGACTTATATATAACTAGCTTAAGGACCGGGCCGACAGAACGACTAAAACGGACCAGTGCGCTGGCCCTAAAATAACAGTTTAGGGCCAACGCGAATCGGTCGACAGACAGGCGCAGGACAGATTTGTCTGTCACAAATATGTCTAGTTGCGTGGTAAAAGGATGCAAAAATTACGGTACAACGATTTAAAAGGAACATGGATATCGTATCATCGGTTAATATCTTTATATTAATTTTGTTTCAATTAAAGTATTAAATAAACGCATTTTTAAAGTTTTATTTTACACTTAGTTTAGTTACGTTACCAAGATTAGGCCAGAGTTGGATTCAGACCCTCAAAAATTATTGTACATGGAAAATAAAATTGTGTTATTTTTAAAAAATTATATCCCATTTCATGTTTCTGTTTTCCCATGTGCCGGGATTTTGGCGTCACGCGTCTATTTTATCTACACGTTTCGTTTTTTGATGATTTTATTTTTATTTCTGTTTTATTTTTGTCTAAAGAACTTAGTGTAAGTTAAATTTTGAATATTAATACCTAATATATTTTATATTCAATAAGGGTAAAACGAAAAGAGTACAAAAAAAAACTATATCTGCTTAATTGAATCTGAAAATCTGATTCATAAATATTTTGAAATTCTGTTTTCAAACCGATTGCTTCCGGAGCATATAGTTTTTATCGTGGCCCCTCATTATAGTTGTATTAAGGATGCAACATAAATGCATCGATCGAGCATCGATTGACCAGAAAGGTAGCTAATTCTAATTTTATTAAAAAAACGCGGTACTCATGTACAATACAGAAATTCTCGATATCGTTGGGTTAATATTAAAAAGTAAAAAGATGGTATTTTCGCTTAGTATTATTACGATGCTATACTACAAACTATGAAATAATGGTACAGTTAGGATAATTATACTACGAAATCCGACCCTGGTTACGTCGTGTTATGATATGACGTTTGTATTATGACAGATGCGCTACTTTTTCTTGTATGTAAAAGTTATGAGTAAAATATTTAAATATTATCCTATCCCTATCCTTCCTTTTGAAATCATTGATTTTATATACATTTTTTTAAAGTTTTATTACATTTAATTATGACATATATATGTGCCATTTTGTTCGATAACTTGTTGTCATCTTGTAGGTAGAAGACATAATCCCGTTGCTGTAGAAATTTTGGAATTTTTGATAAAAAAATGCGACAAGTCGTTTTGACAGTCCTCTCTTGAAGTTAACACTACCCAAAGAATTCGAAAAGACCGAAATAGGTGAAAATCTGAGGGTACAAGGTCAGGACTATATGGTGGATGCATTAAAACTTCCCAACCAAGCTTTCATCAGTTATCATAATGAAATACCAATCCTTTTCTATTGGTCAATTCCAGCCGGTTTTTTTTTTCTCAATTTCTTGCTTGAGTCTTACTAGTCACACATTCCGTAAATAGATCTTTGACGACTGCTGATCTTGAGGTCCGTCCTGAGTTCGAATCCTGAGTCGGGCCAAAAAGTCAATTCTTGAGTTTTTCTGTCAAGAAATTCTCAGTAGCTGCCCGGAGTCAGGAAATTGACAGTGTCTCACCCCCGTGCCTCGGAAAGCACGTAAAGCCGTTGGTCCTGCGCCTGATCTCTCTCCCGGTCGTGTCGGTTTACTGTCCCATCGGATTACAAGAGTGAGGGAATGGAGAGTGCACCTGTGCTTGCGCATACATTTGGGCACTATAATCCTGTCCTGCGCCGATGGCTAGCCTCCGTTGAGGCAGGCCGCCGTGGCTGAAATTCGGTCTGGAGGACATTATTATTAAATAGATCTTTGAACGGAACCCATTGATGATAATTCCCGTTGATGGTCATCAAGCTTCGGTGTTGATTTTTCTTGATGAGCTGTCAACCATATTTTTTTGTTGATCGCCTTCTTTATGTCACTAAAGCTGCTCACATGGATGAAAAATTCTTGTTCGAATGTTACGTTAGCACCCTCCAACTTGCGGTCGAGCTCCCAATAAAGAGACTTGCTACTTTGTTTACGCAACATCTCATCTAGCTTGCTATTAATAATGCGGTAAACTAGTCGCGGTGTTGCCGACGACATTGACGGCATGGGTTGAAAGTTGCTGGTATAATGATCAGAGTAGAAGAGGGTCTTGATTTTTCTTCAGTTGCCAAGAAACATTATATGTAGTCTTTTGTTTTTGTATAAAAATCAAGAACTTGTCCATATTGATTCTGTACAATGTAGGGATGTTTTTCATCACACAACTCACGTAGCTGGAGGTGAAGGTAGTCAGTAAGTATCCAGTCTCCAGTCATTTATTGACGAGCAGTCCTACTGTCGGCGCCGTCCTTTTTGAAGTTGCTGAGCAGCCGCTCCATACCAGAAACCATCTGTTGTTTTTTGCTTGTAAATCTTCCATGGTGTTGTTGCGAATAGGTATTCGATAGGTGTTAACTTTTTGCGGTCCGTGTGACGATGAACTTCCAGCGATATCTGCGCCTTCTCAATCTGCCTGGTGAGACCCGCTTCTGGGAGGCCAGACAAACTGATTCGCTATCACCGAAAAAAATCATAATCACACTTCACTTTCGAAGGACCAAAAAGATGTTGTGCTTTTGATGTAAATGTTAAAATATAATTGTTAAAATGTTTAAAAATGTTAGGTGTACGAGTACGAGACCATGTTGGTGTCCGTACACTTACTGGCTAAAATAAATACTTTAAAGTTAAATGCCGACGCCTACATAATGTGTAATGTGTTCGGTAAAATGTGTTAACTCAGTTTTGAATACATTTTTATTACTTAAATGATTCTAGTGTACCTAAGGCTTTCCTCAAGCCCGTAAATTTAAGTTTGAGTGAGATTAAGAAGTGAGTGAGACAGAAATCCTTTTTCCAAACATCCCACCATGGGCCATTAACACAGATTACCTCCTAATACATACCGCATCACGGAATATTTGTTTTGTTTCGAATTCACCAAATTTCGAGTTGAGGGGGACGTGTCAAATGCGCTGTGATTGGATAATTCAAGGTTGAACTTAGAATGCTCCGAACCATAGTGGTGGGACAGGGTTGGGACGTTGATCGATACATTTGGGATTTATCGATTATTGATAAATAAATGAATTGATCAATTTTTATTTGAAATTTATTAAATAATAAAACAATGTATATAAATAATAACAATAACAATGTATATAATATAATATATATATATATATATATTTGTACATGTAATCTAATGATTTCTTAAATTTACGCCAACACTACACATTGAATAAAACTACATAATTATATGGATTTTATGGCGTTAAATAACTTATAGTCACGGGAGTGGAGGGAACTGAGATGTTTGACATCTCACTATCATAGTTAGCCCGGCTATCTTAGGTTTTTGAATATTGATTTTTGGTCCCGATCTACATAAAACGATCTTACAGTATCTTGAAGTCTTGCAGTGGTATGCTTGGTTTTGGATAGATTTTGTTAATTATAGGATCCCAAGCATATGGCAGCACCCATCCACCGACTGTGGCGGGCTTCACTCGGTCGCTGTGACGTAGGCTTGGGACCCAAAGCTTGTTCTCTTGCAATACTTGCTTGACATGCTGAAGCTCGGCGGCCAGATGTATTCTGTCACAGATACCTTATGCTCTCTGAAACAAATATTTACCCACAGTAGCAAACTATGAAGAAAGATGGTGAGATTCACCATTTAAATATCGGTTGGTATAAACCTTTTTCCTATACATAGTATGTCCAATAGTGTTATCAGGATTTCGGATGACGAAAACATCTAGGAAAGCTAAAGTATTATTTGCTTCTAACTCCATCGTGATTTGTATTTTGAAGCTTATGGAGTTAAGGTGGTCTAAAATGCAGTTGCTTTGTCAGACGGTAAAATTTTGAAAGTGTCGTCTACGTACCGCTTGTAGAATCTTGGATTTATAGGAGCAGTAAAAAGGGTTTTTCTTAAAGTCCTCCATGATATATGTCGACGACTATAAGAAATACGGGTGGGCCCATCGCCACACCATCAACTTTCTTGTAAAACTCTTCCTTCTACAATAGATAGCCAGATGTGAAGCAGTGTTTGAGTGATACTGCATATTCTGTAGGCATGTTGTTATCTTGTAGTTTCCTAGTTACAATTGAGAAGCAGTCTTCAATAGGTAGGCATGTGAATAGTGACTGAACACGTAACTGACCATAGTTTCATTGTCAGCGAGATGTAGGTCCTTTATCTCCTTCCTCCTGAATCCTTTGTGTGTGTTCCGGTATGTACTTTCAGTGGTGACAGTATTTTTGCCTAGTGTTGCACCTAAAAGTAGTATTATTAATTAAGAAACCATACGGTACGTGTTTCAAATTAAGATGTACTTAAAAACAATAATAATAGGATATTACTGAAGTTCATGTAACACTAGAATATCATTAATCACATTATAACTTTCACTTGTTTTATGGTTTATAAATCCGTTAAAACTAGTTTAATTTCGACGTGTAAAATTCGCCTAAATATTATAATATCACGTTTCAATCCACCACTTAATGCTTATTACTTATTGTGTAATCACCATTGGTATTATACTTTAAAAAAAAATTAAAAGTCCATACTAAAATTGGCAAGTATAGAGATGGTATAACGGAATCCAACAGCTTTCCACGGTTTTTCATAATATGAAGATTGTCTTCCGTGAAGTGTCTTGAGCATAGATCACTATTTTTGGTGGGAAACCATTGGTCCCCTCGACATGTAGCGTCGATCCACATCTTTTCCTTTCGGGGCATTTAGGAAACCTATAACATACCACAATTATACGCCACTATTTGTATAAAATAATGACTACAAAAAAAAGTAAACGATGACCAAACAAATATCGACTTATAAATCACAACACTATCGATACACGTGCTGTCGTGCGTGTCGTTAGACAAAGACAACTATTTTAATTTACGTAATGAGTGAAAGGGACGTTTCAAAAAGAAATCAACGGGTGCTCAAATGATATCACTTTGCAACATTATATATCCAGTGTAAGTTGAACTCCGATGCATTTGAAATATGTAGGTTAACGTGATAAGAATAAATTTTACTTACCGATGAAATATTATGCCATCTTTTTGATAACTGGATGTCTTAGCTGACTTGCAACGTCATTTCACTGCATAGGAAGCCATTTGTAATGTATTTTAGATAAAAAAATTATTTATATTGATATATATTGATATTTAAATTTTCAAAAACTCGGACGTGCCTACGGGTCACAAACTTGGTCGATAATGATATCGTGTTTATTAGCGTCACTTCATATGCTAGCTACAGCAAGTATGTGTTGCGCGCGTTTGTGGCCCTGTATGCGGAAGCTATTGGGAGGTAATCTGTGGCCATTAACGATATTTTTTTTTAGTTTAGGATTGAAGAAGATAGGAAGACTTTTATATTAAACATCAATTATTGGATTATAAGATTTATTACAACCAATACTTAAACTGCCTTTTTTTGACGCAACGGCTTCCGTTATTAACAAATTCAACTACTTCTTTATTTTTTGCCGCGTAATAATACTTTACGATACAAGAGACTTAAGTAGCCGATGATTTATTAGCTTCACACGTTTTAATAATCGGTTACTTAAGTTCCTTATATCGTACATTATCTTACAGTGCAAATGACTTAAATCTACGAATATTTGACTTCAATTCAAATTCAAGAAAAACATTATTTGAAATTAAAATTTAAAAAAAAATTCTTTCTGAGAATTCTAGATTTTAAATATCAACATCATATCAGAATGAAGAAGTTTTGTTAGTAAATACAGATTACAGAGAATTAAAAAGTTTCAGTACAAAAATTACAACATCAATCTAAAGATTTAATTAAACGAGACTAAAGATGTAACGAGAATCGAGTAATAGTATTTTTAATAATTGTACTTAAAAATAATTAAAGTGCCTATTATTTTATTACTACCTATTACTCTGCAAAAAACAGAAGTCTGCAGTTTGCGATCATATCCTAGACGGCCCCAACCATTACATCAGATTTGATAGACCACAAATCCTCGCGAAAGAACACCGATTCCTATCAAGGATGATACGTGAGGCTATTGAAATTAAAAAACATCCTAAGTTCAATAGAGAAGGAGGCTGGGTACTACCACCTGCTTGGGATCCTATAATCAATAAAATTAAAACTAAACCCAATCATACGACTGCAAGACCTCAGGACATATTCAGTTCATTTTGCATAGATCGGACCATAAACAATAATTAAAAAAGCTGAAGGTACTCCTGGTTTAACAATGACATCGGGACGTCAGTCATCTCAGTCCCCTGTGACCATGGTTGATGTAAAGCACGAAACGTCTGGAATTAAAAAAAAAAGTAAAATCAGTTAAATAAACGCAATAGAATCCGTAAATTTAGTTTATTCAATAAAATAAACGCGATAAAATCCGTAAAAGTAGTTTTAATCAATGTGTAGTGTTCACGTAAATATAAGAAATCATTAAATACACACATAACTTAATTTTTTATTTTATTTTCTGATAACTATCGTGATTTGGGCTATCACCCGTTTCCGGCTTGACGGTGATTTCTGGGACAGCCCGTGTAGCTGATACGTTTTTGCTTATTATCAGGAAATAAAGGATGTACGTATAGCATAAGTGGTAATATGTTTGTGTGTGTGTGTGTGTGTGATGCAGGAGGAGGCGGCGGCGGCGCGCGAGGCGGGCGAGGCGGCGGCGGCGTGGTGGCGCACGCGCGACACCAAGGCCGACGCCACCATCCGCCAGCAGGCCAAGCTCATCGACTTCCTGCAGGTACGCGCTGCCCTCACCTAGTGCTCGTTACCACCACGGCTGATCATGTACTCTTCTCAGCTATGTCGACTTCGTATCCTGGCGTGAACCAAAATCTGAACTCTGAGTTAAAGAGTTCGCGTTCGATCTGTTTCGTCTGCACGTCGTTTTGGCTCGTTATGTCTGCCATGTTTAGTGGTTGTAAATGCAACAAAAATAGTTATTTTTTCTGTAATGAAATTCTCAGTAGAAACGCAGAGTCAAGCAAAGATAGTTAGATGCGCCTTCACCTTGAAAACTGTGGCATTATTTTTGGATGTGTTCGTTTGCAAGACGTTGATGCGCGCACACTAATGCAATAGTGTCATCTCTTATTATCTTGCAGAATTTGTGTATACTACTATCTTTGTCGCACAAATGAGCACTGATTGCGAATGTGTGAGGTCACTTATTTGAGAATGGACACATTTCGAAGTGGTCATACTATGGTAAGGGCGCATCTAACTATTTAAATCTTTGGAATCAAGTAGCTGGCGGTATTTCTGACTTTGGCTCTGCACCTTTCCGGTCGAGACGGATCATCTTGCGCTCACTATCATGCGCGGTACTACTATAACCCGAACATACGCAAAGACATAGAGTGGGGCATGTTTTTTTGTTTGCAATAGTTGTTCAAGTACGTAAGTACATATTACTTTAATGTACACGAGCAAAAAATCCACATCAAACAACATAATGTAATATTATTATCATTTATACGAGCTATGACGAGTTTGGCGATGCTGCGGCTGGTAAGTGGCTAGCTCGTGTATCAGTTCCAGAAGGTCGCACCTCACATACCATTCTGGACGCGTGCGGATCATATCGTGATCCAGTTTTCTGTGGTAGTCTGGCTGCCCTGTAAAAGTCGGACTTTCATACGACGTATTGCAACATTGCGGCTTATTAGTGCTGCATACCACAAAGTGATTTGTCGCAACAAAATCTTTAACCAACATTTCGCCCCATGCCGCATATGTCACTGTTGTGGTGTGTGCTTATATATATGTAGGATAGAATAGGAGAGAGGGTCAGTAATAAATCTACATTCAAGACCGCTGGACGTGTCATTTATTCCTCGAACCTCCCGACATTACATGGCGACCCTGCCAGGATTCGAACCTGGAATCCTTTTGATCCGCAGTCAGAAGATTACAACTGTTACCATATTTTCTAAAATGCCACAAGACGCACTTTACATTATTTACCACACGAAAGTGTTACTATAGCTCCGATGAAAATATGACTTTAGACCAACTTACTGTCTACATAAGCTTAGCATCAGAGTAATAATACTCCCCACGAAATCTACTACATAGTTTTGAAAGCTTACTGTTTATAATATACATTTCTTTGTAAACGTAGGTGGTTTATGAATGTTTTAATTTTCACATCTGAATATGCCTCTTCCATATAGAAAATCTTAATAAGTCTGTTAACCTCTTAATAAGTATGTTGATTTAAAATTTGATAATAAGTACAATGTATAAATGTTGTTGGTGTTTCGAATAAAATTTGTTCAGTTATGAAGAATTTACTGGCCTTTGAAGCCACTGAAGATAATTGTATTGTACTCTATCACATTTTTAGGAGCGCGTCAAATGATGCATGTTTTAAAGGTTAAATTATATTCGCCACGCCAAAAAGACAAAGCTGCTTTCCTATCCAGTATACCAGTATGACGTTTTTGGATCCGGTATTTCTGATTTATAACTGAAGCTCTGTTCACTACGGAGAGCATAAACCATTGTTTTGACATTAGAATCAGTTTAGGCTTTATTTCGTGTTAAATTTTAAGTTAACGGCTTTTAATACGTTATCTATGAAATTCAAAATATATCATTTGTTTAAATTGTAATAAAAATTATTAATATTAGCTACCAATGCATTTTGTACATAAGCTTCAAATTATTATTACAGGCTAAAGTGGAAGAAGCGAATCGCAAGAAATGCTCACTTAGTAATAAATTGTTCGGACGTTCAGGACGTCGTGCCGCCGCGTCGCCGCCGTTGCTGCGAGTAAATAGGTAATACATTATTCGCTATTAAAAACAAAGGCATTCCATCTTAGACCTTAGGTTTTTATACGTGGTAGAGCCATGCTGCAGTTATATTAGAAGTATAGTTGTAGCACGAAGGGATCGGCTCGACCGGGGAAGGACCACGCTCTCACAGAATACCAGAGTCAAATAGTAGCTTAATGCTGCTGTGTTTCGTATGGTGAGTATAGAGAACCGGAGACCATTTTTACTGGAAACGAGGCGTTCCATCTTAGTCCTCATGGATGACAACGCATCTGTATTTTTTTTCGTAATCGAGGATAGATGTAGATGTCTATGGGCCACAGCAACCTCTTAACATCTGGTATACTGTGTGCTCGTTTGTCACCGTATCCTATAAAAAAAAGGTGTGACGCATATCTGAGGTTTTCTTTGTTTACTCCATGGTCCACAATGGCCACTTGCATACATTTGAAATTTAAACTGTTAGTGTTTGTTACTCATTATAAGAAAATATGTATAGAATTTGACACTACGTGGCAGATATTGAACTAGGTGCTTCATCGTGCTTGAGTATTAATTTATTAAATCACATGCATTACTTAACAATAATAATGGTTTAATTAAGTACAACTTTTATTCTGATGTTCTTTTATATAGAGTTTTCAGATCACGCTATATTTGTGGGCTTTTTCGGGAATCTAGTGCGTTCAACTAACTATACTTTGTGCAATATTATTTCTTGTTTTTGTTTATGTTTACAATGTTTATCTTTAACAGGGAACTCCGTGAAGAAGTTGAGCGTTTACGATCCAAGCTCGCAGCTAATGACATGTATGTTTTTGTTTTCTTCAAAATAAAATTATTCATGAATTTTTATGAATTTTTGTCACAGTATAATGCATTCTATTACAGCCCGCCTACTCCAAGACGTGAGAAACCGGTTGATAGACCTAAGAAAATAATTAATGGGTAAGAATTATTTTATCTAACAGATGAAGAAGTACTGTAATTTTTTTATTTGTATCTGGTATAATATCACGGCATTATAACTTAGTTCTCAGAGGTGGCAACACATCTGCCTTCGTTTGAAGTTGACTGTAGGAGTCTATGAGCTGCCGTAACCACTCAGTACTATAAAAAAGTTTAAATAAAATTTATTCGCCTATACTCATCACGCTGGGCAGGTTGGTGAGCGCAACCGATAAGCTACTTATCATTGATCTTTGGTATACGAGTTGTGTATCTTTTAATGAAAAAAAAAAAACACTTGTGGCCCAACAAAGATGATATTAACTACAGGAAAGGGGATCCTTTACATCATTTAAATTTCCATTAGTATTGCGCGTTTTATTTATCCCTTACCAGCTACAAGGAGTGGTCTTACAGTGAGGTTGGAATGCGTGAGACAGCTGGTACAGAGATCGCCACTCCGCAGGTGACCAAGCCAAGCGTGAGAGTTACGTTACATCCTCCATACTACGATACAGGCGTAGGTTCAGTACTGGGGAGGTTCAAGAGTTTGCTGTATAGAAAAAAGAAACAACTGTTTTATTCATTTATTTCTTGTTTCAGAATAAATACGGATCTATCAGACGAGAAGAGCGAGTCTTCGCTGCTTATTGTTTGGTAGGTTAAATAAATACCGCTCCATTAAATGAAATTAGGGCGTATAAAATCTAAAACAACACACACTGATCCTTTAGAAGTTAGCTGCAACAACCCACACGTTTCAACAGGTCTTCACTCCATCTAGTGGGGGGTCGTCCAACACTGCTTACCAGTACGAGACATACAACTATCGGTATAGATTTAACTTGGACGGTGGACATTAGACATGATTGTTGTTCCGTTTGTTGGTAAAGAAAAGCATAAGACGTTGGCTATGCTAGAGTGACTGCGATTTAACCTCTCAGTCCCCAAGCGGTCGAATTCAACCGCGGCGCTATTCCGTCAAAATTCAAGCGGTCGGATTCGACCGCGCACACCCACAATACTTTAAACCATTAAAACTTATATTTAGAGACTATTTTTCTATGAAGAAGTTTGGCATTATATAATCAATATGAAATAATCTATCCTCTAGTGCAATAAAAAAAACTGTTATTCTATGGATATTTATTTATAATCTACGTTTATTTCGTACGTCATTTTCGCGTGAATGTTATTGTGTTTATTTTTGGATTTTTCTAGTATTTTATTAGTGTTTCAGTATAGTGTTTTATTATAAAATTGTAATGAAAGTTTTTGTGTGAATATAATTTATCTTTTTACGTAAATAATTTCGAGTAATATATCTATAATGTGAACGTGATATCCTCTATAGCTTCAGTTGCTCTTAGATTTAGGTCTAAAGCAGGAAATTCTTCTAGTGGTTCTCTTTCAAATACGTTAGAAAAATGATCTGCAAATACGTCCGCTATTTCTTTAGGTCGTGTCTCAGATTGCCCATTACTGTTCCGTAAAATTTTTGGTGTACTAAGTTTTGAGGTTATTCTTGTAAAATGCACTTGCCGTGCGCCCTAAATTAATTAGTTTATTATTCCTTATAGATTTTATCTGACCCTGTTACCGAGTATACCTGTTCAAAGTAATTTTTTTTTCTCTTATTATCTCAGGTTTGTCATTCTTTATCCATGGTTTATTAATGTTTTTACAAGAGGAACGTATGTGTGCATTAATAATTGTTTTATGAATTATTCTAAACTGTTCAACTAGAAATGTATATCTTTTTGCCGGAGTGAATTTCTTCTTTGATTTTGTTGTAATCTCCTTTATTAAAATTCTTTTTAGGTTTAGACTGCTACCCATTCTGTTGTGTTTGTAACGTCGTGTATAGTCGATACTAAACATGCATGATCGCTTTTCCCAATTTCGGCTCCATAAGTCATAACTGATACCAACTATCAAAGACTCATCAGTTGTCAAGATTAGGTCTAAAGTAGATGGCTGGTGACACTGGCGGAACCTCGTATAACTTCTATCAATTATTGTAGATTGAGTCTGGCACTATTGTATACTAAAATCATTATAAATCTACAAACATCGTGATTAACATTTTTAAACTTCTGCTGGTTCGAACTTTTTTGAATAGTCGTCAAATTATTTCTTTACCATTGCAAGAAATCGGTTTCTTTTGGCAGTAGATACCCACAATTTGAAACTGGCCACATGACTCCACCAAAATTAAATTCGTCCATTATTATTACTGTGTTTAATTGGGAAGCCAGTTCTAAATTTTGTAAAAGCAAGTTGTCATGATCGAGAGTTGATTCGTGTACTCTATATAGTCCACATAACCGTATTCTTTGTGAACCTACTTCAATGTCTACCCATAAACATTTCCAAGAGTCGTACTTTGTATTATTGTACTGACTGAAAGCAAAAGAAGACAAAAATAGCGATTCCTCCACTTCGTTTATCACTACGGTCATCTTTGTATAAGTAGTAACCCGGTATTTTTATCAGTGAGTCAGGTATATTTGGTTTAGCCATGTTTTTGAGAGGACTATAATTGATGGTTTTAGTTGATCAACTCTGCAATGAATAAATCCAGTTTGTTATGGATTGTATGTTTGTGTATAAGATTGTTATTGTTAAGAGTGCGGAAGGTATCGAAAATCTGAATTAGTTTTATATCTCTTGTTTACAGATAATTTTACGCTGCCCTTGTATATACTTGATAGTCAAGCCTTGTTCTCTATTATTGGTACGAGGGGACACTTTTATTTTGACAACTGTTCTAAAGTATTTCATTTTGGTGACAAATACTAATTGTGGTTAGTACGAGGGGACGTTTTAAAGTTCGCGGAATGGGGGGGGGGGGGGGGTAAGGAGTGGAAATAAAAATCCAAATTTATTTTTCCTTTTCAATATATTCACCTGCTACCCTAATACATTTTTAGGATCTTTCAATTGACTTATGTATGCCCTCAAAAAAAATATGATTTGTCTTTGTCCAAAAAATACGTCGAAACTGCCTTCACTTCTTCATAACTTAAAAACTTTTTTCGCACGAAGTTCTTTTTTTAAGTTTGGAAATGGATAATAATCACTGGGGACTGGAACAGGACTATAGGGTGGGTGTGGCAAAACTTTGAAGCCCACCTTCTGCAGGGCAGTCATCGCAAAATGGCACTTGTGAACAGACGCGTTGTCGTGCTTAAGAAGGATTCCTTTGGTCAATTTTTTCCTTCTTTTCTCCTTAATGGCTTCCTTCAATTGTACTAGGATTGAGCGTAGTATTTTCCGGTTATGGAGACACCTTTATCATTTTAATTTATCAATAGGATTCCTTCTGAGTCCCAAAAGACTGTCGCCATTATTTTCCCAGCCGATTGTGCCACCTTAAATTTCTTAGGTGATGTTGTGCCTTATTTGTGCCACTGCATAGTCATGGTTTGGACCCAAATTTCGTCACTAGTAACAATTCGAGCCAACACTCCATCTTTGTTTTCCATACAGAGGTCCAAAAATGCACGAGAACACTCCACACGCTTTTGAGGCAGCGTGAGTATTCTAGGCACCCATCTTGCGATGACTTTAGTCATGCCAAGATGGTCATGAAGAATTTTGAGAATGGATGTATCTAATACTCCAACCATTTCTGCGAGCTGATTTTTCTATAGGTGGGCATCTCTTAATATAAATTTTTCGACTTTATGAATAATTTCCGAAGTGGTTACCTCGTTCGGCCTTCCTGGCCGTGGGTCGTCTTCAAGTGACGGCCTAGACTTAGACTTGGACTAGGCCTTGTTTAAAAAAGGGTATGCCACTTGTAAACCATAGTTTTACTTGAACAAGAGTCTCCGTAAACGAATGACATCTCTTTCAGTATAGTCTGAACTGATTTTCCGCGCTTGAAAAGGAGCTTTATAACGGCACGGAACTCGATTTTCTTCATATTTTACAATTTATTCCCGATTGACTTGTATTGGTTGACGATAACTCAAAGACTAATGATCTAATTACAATAAAACCCGGTATTTATACTAATAATGAGTTGCTCAATTAACACGTAATTCAGCGTCATCCCCACTTATTAACCACCTAGCTATTCCGTGGACTTAAAAACGTACCCTCGTACGTTTCTTTAATTCATCGCGTAGGTATTTCAAGTACGCGCGTTGCATCGCAGTTTGGTCTGATTTAATAATTGACGGATTATCAAGTTTAGTTTTGTTACGAAGTATCTCAATAGCATCATTCTTAGACTTCATTACCACTTTAATGGGGCGAGGAGGAGCCCCAGCTTGAGACTTACGTGCATCAAGACGGAATACTTTCACATTATCACAGCTCACTTTTTTGCTCACGCAAGTTATTATTTTCCTGCACTCCTCTTTATCATGTTCCTGTCTTTGTAAAGGTTTATCCGAGGTTGATACTGGTATGTCGTAGAAGAACGAAGACAAAGACTTTTTAACTGTTCGCGGAAGTGCTTCAGTGTTGTTGTGCGCCGCAGGTGCATCGGGCCGCCGGCCCATTGTTCTATTGTGTAGTGCTAGTTTAGTGCCCCACGTTCTGCCGATTTCCAGTAAACCGTAAGTAGCTTATTGCACACCCGCTGCCTCAGAGGCAGCAATTCTATTGTTTAAATTCTGTGTTCGCTTGTCGCATTAGGCGACAGCCAGGTACACACCCTAGCGTACCAACGCGCTAGTTGTATAAGTGTTCGTTTAGGCACACACCACCCCGCCGAAAGGTGGGGGGCTTGATACATAAGTGTTTTAATCACTAACAAGATGATGTCTGTCTCAATAGCCGAACTCACCGACTTTTTAAGTCGAGTGTGCCCCGACGTTTGGGCTACGTTCTTAACTCAACGTAATGTGCCCACCGCTGAACGCCCCGTACTACGCATCGACAACCTTATGTCGCCGAGCACCGCGCCCTCGACCCCTGTGTCCATCGACACAGTTTTTGACGCCGCGTCCCCCGCGCCTTCTGCGCTCTCCACCCGCGGTCCCTCCCCGGTGTTTTCGGACGCTGAATCAGGCTCCGAGATGGAGAACGATAACAACCGACCAGAAAAACCCGAAGAAGAAGGCTTCACCCTAGTCTCGGGTAAAAAGCGTAAGCGCGCCGCCGCGAAAAAGGGAGACGAGCCTCACTCGTCCCCTACGTCGCCCAACGCCACTCCTGCTAAGAAAGTCACGCCTTCCGCGCGCAACAAGACCGCGAACCCGACTCCGGCTGTAGTAAGGACGGAGAAGCCGCCGCCCCCAATAATTTTGCAGAATAAATCTCGCTGGAGCAACCTATCCAAGTGGATAGACTCTAAAAAGATCTTCTTCCCCAAAGTCCACAATGGACCGCAGGGCATTCGTATCCACGTCGCAACGACGGACGATTTCCGCGGTTTAACTGCGCATCTTAAAGTTCAGAATCTGAGCTTTCACACATACTCCCTTGCGGAGGACCGTAACCTCCGTGTTGTAGTTCGCGGACTCCCTAAGGAGCTCGAAACCGAGCACATCTTAAGCGATCTTAAATCGCAAAATTTCCCAGTCAGAGAAGTGCACAGGATGCACCATGCGACCGATAAAAAATGGTATCTAGATCTGTGCCTAGTAATTTTGGACCTGTCTCCGGAGGGCAAAGAGATATATAATATCACCCGGATTTGCAACCTCACGGAGATTGCAGTAGAGTCTTCGCGCAATAGGGGCAATTATACGGCCACTCGGCCAGAAATTGTATCGCCCGGCCTAGGTGCGTTAAATGCCTAGCAGATCATGGCACACCCGAGTGCCCCCGAACGCCCAGCAGAGTCGAAGGGCCCTCCGAGCTGTGTTCTGTGCGGCGAAGAGGGACACCCAGCGAGCTATCGCGGGTGTACCATTAGCGCCGCGTAGGAAGCAGAACGGAGGAGCAATCCGACGCGGACGAGCGGGCAACTCCAGTAGGTCGCGCCCACGGCATTCTGCCCATCAGTCGCACCAACCTCGGTGCCGCACCCCGCGCCCGCTCTGGCTACAGACAAGCCCGCCCTCGTTAAAGGGACTTCCGGGCAAAGCCCAAGCCCTCCGGTGCCTTCAGCACCTAAACCCAACGCATGGGTTAAGCCCCGGCGATTGTCAGCGCGGCCGCCTCACGGCCAGTCCCTCCTCGCCAGGCCCAAAAGCCCAAACCCGCCTCTCAGGCACCGTCAAACATCGACACTGACCTTTCGTAGTGTTCAACTTCGCCAGCAATATAAATGTGGCCGAAGTCACAACCTTAGCCGCAGCAGACGTAATAGGGATCCCAAAACCGGGTAAACCGCGTAATCGTCCCTCTAGCTACAGACCCATTAGTCTGCTCAACACTTTGGGTAAACTATACGAGCGTATTATTCACAAGCGTCTCCGTCTTTACATCGAATCAAACAGACTCCTCCCAGACGAGCAGTTTGGCTTTAGAGCCAGTCACTCATTCACCCACCAGATTCATCGCCTAACGGAATACATTTTGCCTGGCTTCAACCAAAACCCGACAAGGAAAAAGTCTCGAAATACGGGGGTCCTCTTCTTCGATGTCGCGAAGGCGTTTGACAAGGTCTGGCACGACGGCTTGATTTACAAGCTGTACGAACTAAACGAGCCCGATAGGCTAGTGCACATCATACGAGCCTTCCTTTCGAACCGCACTTTTCGATATCGAGTGGAGGGAACCCGTTCTTCGAAACACTTCCTCAAGGCCGGGGTCCCACAAGGCTCCGTCCTATCTCCACTCCTCTTCACACTCTTCACGAGTGATATCCCAAAAGACCCCGTGGTGAACACCGCACTCTTCGCAACAAAAATAACCTCTCCTTAAAGCTCCAAAAAACCTCCAATCGCCTAGGTGAATGGTTCCGCCAATGGAAAATTGACGTGAACCCCGAAAGGAGTGTAGCAGTATACTTTCAACGGAATTCAACAGCAGGTTCTAAACCAAAAACGATTTCCTTATACGACCGCCCAATCCCTTGGGAAAAATCGGCCAAATATCTAGGCTTCACGTTCGACTCCCGCATGAGTTTCGCGACGCACATAAGTGTAGTACGCAACAGAGCCAAGTCAGTCATTGGCCGTCTACACCCTCTCGTTAACAGCAAGAGTAAGCTGTCGTTAAGACACAAACTCCGACTGTATAAAACCTGCGTTAGACCTATTATGATATGACCTATTATATATGACCTATTACGGCCTTGCAGGCCGCGAGCCCTGAGTCAGATGAAGCTGTAAGAGTCGCATAGACTAACAGCGCTAACATCCAGAAAATAGAGTGTCGTAAATTATTATATTGTTAGCTCTCTTAGTGCGCTCAGCCAATTCTTGTATTGCTCCTTCAGTTACAAGCATCTTTTGACGTAATCTCAAGTGGTGTACTTCTTTAGTAAGTTCCTCCAGTTGTTTCATTATATTTGGTATTTGCGCCATTAGTGATTTACAATTGACACATAAGAAAGAAATCACTCGAGCTATGTATATAATTTCCATACTTGCTTGACTATATTGGAGAATGAGACATTATTTTGCTGATAAACTTTTACGTATTTATGTTCTGCATCGCGGTAAAATCAACACGATTTGATTTTGAAGAAGACGCGCGGACACGTACTATGTCCTCCGCTGGTCGAGGTCGCCAGGCGCGGCACGCCGGGTGCGCCAACTTTGCGCCTCCCGTTCGTCAGGTATGTTATTTTTCCCGCTCATCACAGACGCAAGACACGCCGCGCTAGCGTGGCACACGACTAACTTTGTGTACTTTTTTTATTATATGCGAGCAGCAATGCAGGAACCTATAAGATCTATTGTGATCGCTGCTATGGCTATAGTTCACGGCTAAGCCCTATGTCTTCAATGAATAGGAGGAGTTGCTTAGCCGTGAGCAATTTCACTTCTTCTGGGCGGAGTAGATAGTTTCAAGATGAGTGTTAAGTTTGCGCATTAAGGGTTAGCAAAAAACTTTGTGTATTTTGCAGGTCGGACGGTAGCCGCGAGCGGCTGGGCGCGCGCTGCGAGGACGCGACGCTGGTGCTGTCGCGCGGGGACTCACAACTGCGCGCGCGCCTGCTCTCGCCCGACGCCAGCAACTTGCCGCACAACGAGGCTAACCGGGCCTTCATGGTATACACTTGTTTTTTATTCACTTATATTTTAGGGAAATTGCTAGACAAAAGTATGGCCTTTGATGGACGGCATATACCCATTTCGTTTTCGCCAAGCATAAAATATCGAAGGACCGGTCCACCAGCACCGACTCGGTTGCTCTCTCATCGGCTCGGCTCTGAGCCTTTCCTCCCATGGTTCAAATGATTTTGTTTTGTCTAAAACGAGGGTTTGGTGCAGGTAAAAGTGGAGGGGTGCAGCTCGCCTCGCGCGGAGGCGACGGTGGTGTGTGCGGGCATCGCGGAGCGTGGCGCCTGGCTGCAGCGCCTGCGTGCGCGCTCCCCGCCCGTGGCGCTCGCCGAACGCGCGCGCCAGCCGCCGCCGCTGTGCGTCACGCGCACGCCCGCTCTCGCCGCGCTGCACGTGGCGCCGCACGTGCTTGCACTAGGTACGTACAGCGTACACACTTCGTTACTGCATGCTCCTGCCCGCCCGTGGCGCTCGCCGAACGCGCGCGCCAGTCGCCGCCGCTGTGCGTCACGCGCACGCCCGCCCTCTCTCAAACCTTACTCTTGCCCTTGCTCTTCAAACTAGATAAGACACATCATTTTATTTCGTTGAGCGGATGTGGGCGAAGTAATTCTTACCAACTAATATAATGGATTTTCGCAAAGTAACGCCTAATTCTATTAATTTACTTCGGTTACGTTTTTCCAACACAATTGAGGGGTAGCCAATACTGGGTGTTGTTGCTCTAAAGTTTGTGAATCAATAACAACAGTAACATTTGATAATTACCCGTTGTCGGCCACTTTGGTTGTTAACAGTTATGGGTAGTAAAGAGCATCGATAGGTATTATAAACAAGGAACTCGCTAACCCTATTGAATTTTATTGTTTATACAAACTCAGTAATATAAAGCCAAACATAATGGTTATTACGCTATTAGGATTAGTAACAAATTATAATTTGATTTATGATCAAATAGTTTGATATTTTTTATTATTAGCTGTAAAGCAGATGTTTCAAAATGGGCCAAGTCTATGTACACTACTTCAAAAAAAAAAAATAGAAAAATCTGTAGAATTCCGGAAAAATACAGATAATGGATATGCACTTATTTATGTATAATGGTCGCACCTGCCAACAATTGTCCTTGGCACCCAGGGTTGACTGGCAGAGAATGCCACATGGCATTAAGTCCGCCCTATGTACCATTTAGCTTAAGGTGTTACATGTAAGTTTTTAAATAAATACATAATTCATTTAAATGTATCCTGTCTTGGTAAACAATTGATGTTTAATTAATTATTTTTATCGACTTTTAACATGGTGTCTCTCAGATTTAGTTACTCTGTGCTTATAGACAATGACAGTAAACCACAAAGCGACCATTATCATGAAAAGAGAACTGTCAGTTGTCACAATAGTGTGAAATAAACATGTCAAACGTTAGTTATCAATAAAAATGACAGCTTAAATCCATGACGGGTTTTTATTGTGTGTTGCAATTTCAAGTGTAATTTCCTGTGCTTTACCAGCAAACAAAGTCATTATAAAATAATTAGATAGTTGAGAACCGTTTATAATATGTTTCCCTATTTTTGAGTATAGTGTACAAGGACCTGACCCAGACTCCATACATTTTGGAACATCTTGTGGAATGTTATCCCACTTTCCTTTTGGTAACGAGTTCTACAAATAACGCACAATCTCATTATTACTAAAAATAATTCTTATTACATAACTAAAATGAAATATTCAAAATACTGTAATTTTTTCGTTTTGCTTCAAATCGGCACAAACATTTTGTAGGGTATAGCCAGTCCAGCGTACTTGTATATGTATAGAGGTTATTGATTCGTACCGATTCCCATAATCGAGTCTTTATAGCACCTGTGAGATGAGATGGGAATACTGGTTTTGTTTATATTGATTACAAATATTTAAATATATGAATCCAAAAACACATCACGCTGTAAGAAGCTCATCAATATTAAAGCCCTAAATTCGCTCAGGTATATTGGCGACATTTTAATTTGAATGAATATATATATATATATATATATATATATATATATATATATATATATATATATATATATATATATATATATATATATATATATATATTGTTGGAAGGCGGCAAAGTCCCATATAATGATATGGGACTTTGCCGCCTTTGTTATTAGACCCCTAAATTATTGTAAGATGTAATTTGATGTAATGTTGGCCTGATGACTCATGTTTGTCGGAATATAGACGTTGCAATTCTAAATATCTCGAATCTTTAATATGCTCCTCCCCATGAAATTTAAAATGTAACGTAAAACAAGTTCCATATATGGGTAAAAGCCTCCCAATATTTGGGAGCGGGGGGGTTCTATGCAACCCATTCTTATTTTATCAGCTTACAAATATTCACTTTTGGACATAGACCACTTTCACAATAGGATAGGAAGAATTTACGCCTTAAAGTTTTTACTTTTACACTAATTTTACAATTGCTTAATACGACCATGTCATCATTAACATTATAATCCTAATTTCAATATACATGTTAATATGTAGGGTGCTCCGACGGCCTATACTCTCTCCGCGGTCCAGTACGAATCGAGTGGGACAGTGACGTGTCTCCGCCAAGAACCGAAGTGAACTGTGTGCAAAGCATAGTGTCGACGAACGGACGAGCGCTGTTTGTATGCAGTGGTATATTGGCTCATGGTGGCCTGTTAGCGCTGGGTTCTGCTCTGCGACGCTCCGCAAACCTCAAGCCCACCGTCAGCCTCAGTAGAGTACAGTTGCCTGAAGTCTCCGCCCCATGTCTAGTCAAGGTCAGATTACATCTTCATTTTTGTACATAGTAGCACGTGCGTAGCGCGGCGCACTCCTCCTGCAGGTAGCCCAGTATGTACGTGTGTGTGTGTGTGTGTGTGTGTGTGTGTGTGTGTGTGTGTGTGTGTGTGTGTGTGTGTGTGTGTGTGTGTGTGTGTGTGGCGTGCGCGCGCGCGCGTGCGTGAGTGCGTGCGTGCGTGCGTGCGTGCGTGCGTGCGTGCGTGCGTGTGTGTGTGTGTGTGTGTATTTGTTAAAAATGTATAAGCTGCGCCCATAAAGAAACGATTAAAAGTGGCGTCCGCCCGATTTCTCGCTTTTCTCTCGCTTACACTGTTGCCACGTCTATATTTACATACCATTAAAATGCAGTAAATGAACATTCACTTTTGATTAGACTAATGTTAAACACTCGCACTGATGAAAAATTCGTTCCGCTATGGACTGCCCGTGGTGCAATAAAATGGGGAACCAGGACACCGCCTGTTGCGCTCTCTGTCGCACTTACGGTTCTTACTGCAGGCATAGTGGCGCACCACTGTCGTGTCGATTTGTATGTTATGAAAAAGTAAAGAATGCAAAATAAAAAGAATATTTCAATAGTTACATTTATTATTAGTCAAAACACATACTTGGAAGTAATAAAATGAATAAAAATTTAAAATAGGTATACAGTAGTTAATTTTTGTTCGAGTCACAGTCGCTATCACTGTCATCGCCTACGCTAAATGTGCTTTCTGCAAATCTTCTTGAAGTGCTTTGGCGTGTAAAACATATTTTCGCCAATTTTTCACTGTAACATTTGCAATGGCTGTGTGAATTAATTGCTCCACGTCAGAAATTATGAACGTGGTTGTTTTACTTGCCACTTCTCCCTACTACTTCTACTATTGTGCCCATATAAGTTCTATTGGATTGTATTGGCAATTTGGTGGCAGTTGGCTAACTTCGTGGCCCCTCATTCTTCTTCGGTCTTTTTACTTTCTGGTAAAGTTTCACTTTAAGCTCTGACTCTGAAAATGAACTGAACTGAAATTTTTCTGCCTGAGCCAGTTCTGTATTTCACATTTGTTATATGCCGATGTAAGTGCATTGTTTATTTGCTGTGAGTGGCTTGTTAGCTTGCATTGTCCATTATCATAACTGACGTCTCTTCCAAACTATGGTGCTCGTGTTATCAACTGAGTCGTTGGGCCATTAATGTCAACAACAATAGGAATGTGCCACCCACAGACCACCCAGCCTACGAGACATGAAACCATACGATTTTCTAGTTAAATTAGTCTGTTAATATTATATATTATAGATACTTTTTTGGGCATCTTTACTGACACGTGCCGCCTACAGCTCCTCTGATTGATAGACAGAGACGCAACTATAATACTGCGTGCTTGACAAAGATAGCCTTAGAACGCCGACCAGAATACGTTGAACCCTCACGTTTTTAGTATTTTAAGATTATTAAATGCTGCACTTACCGGTGCAACGTGATTTTATCCTTCCTAAAATTACATTTCCTGCTATCACTATCACACCACTTTACTGCGCACGTAGGCATGTTTTTCTGTTTTCTATTTTAAAAAATTGTTGCGCTAAAGACGCAGTGCACAGGTCTGTTGTCTGGTCGCTACTAAACAGGGTAGCGTTCGTGTTCAACTATATAGGCTCCAGTAGAGCAGATGAAGTACAGAAATTGGTCGCCTTTCGTTACATGTCTCGTAGGCTTCTTAAGTCTGCCTTATCGCGGCGGACAAAGCTACCTTCATTGCATTTGTCGTTAGTTAGATAACAAGGTAAGGACCTGTGTACATTTTTTTCATTTCTCTGTCTCACTTCAATCTCGACAGTTGTGCATAATAGAAAATTTATTCTCTCTTTCTCTTTCAAAAATAAAACTGTGAAATCAACGTGCAACCACGGATAGTTATTCACAATATATTTGTGTTTTTAAATGATTGTAAAGAGATTCTGAAAAAATATCCCAGCTTAATTTTAATGAAACACGGGAAAATGTTGCCTTTATTTGTAGCGTTAGCAGAGCGACAGTCGATCGAATAAAAACGGAAATATCGCAATCCGGCAGTCCAACCAATCAAGGGAAAGTTTTAAAAACCAACTACTGTTAACAATATTGATAATTTTGATATGAGTGTGCTAAAACACACTATATCTACTATATATGAGCCATAAGCCCCGTGAGTGCGAGCGAGATAGACTGATTAAAAAGATTTATTGCCCGACCACTCAGTTGGTAACGCGAGCACTATAGTCAGCCATTCCATAAATCGTCAAACCATCGGGTAAACCATTCTTTGAAACTTTTGGCGTCCATTTCATTGTGATAATCTTCATTTTTACTTTTGATTACTCGAAATACTCATTTGGCGTCCAGTAACAATCCATGATTGAAACATCCAGCATTTCAAACTACAAGCCTACCTCCTTTCCCTATTTTATTAATTAAATCATCTTCCCCTTCAATATTAACTCACACGTACGTGTACGTGTAAATAAAACCATGGCTAATTAAGGAAAAGCGAAGACGTTTGTCATCATTTTTCCTTTAATGGGTCAAGTTTACTTAAAAATTGTAACCTGGCACGAACAATATCTTTTCTCTCTATTACTCGCACGTATTCATGAACTACCGCGCTCTAGCGCACACTATTCTTCATCCTTCTATAAATCAATAAGCGGATAAGTGACACACCGCACACGTCTGTCCCTAGCGCACCGATGATTTCTATTTCGGTACTGCTGCAGGTAGCGAGTGTTTAATATTAGGGATGTGTTCCGATATAAACAGCGAGCATTGCTCAGTACTCTCACTGGTGAAAAATTCGTTCCGTTGTGAACTGCCAGCATACTGCCGCAGTGCTCTAGGGAAATATATAAAATCATAAATCGCCATTTTTATACTGTGGGCACTGGCGCTTTCGAGGTAAGTTGCTCTCAGTACTTTGATCACGTAATCAAAAAACATAGCGGTGTCTGGAGATTTAACAGCTTTCACGAATGGTTATTAATATTATTAATCAATTTTCTTATTCGAATAAACTCGGACATTTAGTTTTGAAAGCAACAACATGCAATTTTTTTTCTTGTTGAACAGAAAACGTGTACTTACATGATAAATATTTTCATTTGTGAACAGTGTCGATAATGGGGATACATTGGAATGCGTTCTATTTTAAACACTTACCAGTATAGCAAACTAAAAAGGAACGGCTTTACAGTATTGACGTCACACCTTACAGTGGTCACAGTGTATATCGGAACACGGCCTATATAAGTTACCACGCTACGCTAAATTAAAAACACGTTTTCTCTATGTTACCTGTACGGTAATTGTTATTTTTGAGTTATAATTTATGAGAAAAACTGACTTTGGTTTGTATTTAATGCAATTACAACGATTTATAACTTAAAATATTATTTGACCGGTGAAAATATTTTATAGCTACTATATTTTGCTGACCTGACTGTTAGTACTTGCTGCCATTATTATATCATTTAATTATTTATTATTGGCTCGACTTATAATATCATACATTTATATGTAGTTAATTCTTTAACTACTCAAGTTTATCTGGTGGAAAATGCCACGAGACATTTAGTTTGTCTATTATTAATTTTAGTTTTAAAGGAGCCTACAATAAAGCTTAAATAAGTAAAAAATAAACCTTAATAGGATAACTTTTTCACATTTTTATGTAATAATAATTACAAGTAATAGTAATAAGTTATCTCTAGTCTGTGGTTTGGTCATGGACTTCTCCCATAGAATGGAATAAAAAGTGGAATTTTTATATATACATAACACGCCTGTCACCCAGAGGGATAGGCAGAGACTAAGGACTTCCATTGAGCACGATCCTGACACACCACTTTCGCATCCTTTACCTATATATCTACGCATACACGCTTGTCAGATAAGGGTACTCCTAACCTGGCCCATTTTCAATATATCATATATATAAGCCGCTCATTCCCGACTCTGCCGATTACACTGCAATGTAAATTTGCTTTGTCACTCTTTCCCAGTTCATTATTTCATTATTTGACCAAACCATCGAAGCATTTCTTTCTTAATCCTGGTCACGACATCATTTTGCACACCACATTTTTCTCTTATCACACAATGTCTCACCCTGTCATGCAGGTTCAGCCCTAGCATACTCATCAAAGACCGCAATTCTACAGCATTTATTCTACTTTTGTGCTTTTTCTGCCACACCCAACTTTCACTATCATACATTAAAGTAGGGATTAACACCGCATTATGAATTACCATACGTGCCTTTTTAGACATATTCCGACTCTTCATAATAGTCTAGAGCCCCATTCACTCTATTTCTTGCCATCACTCGTCGTTCTATATACATACATACATAAACACTCACGCCTGTCACCCAGAGGGGTAGGCAGAGACTACAGACTTCCATTTAGCACGATCCTGACATACCTTTCTCGCCTTTTCCACATCCATATACCTACGCATACATGCTCGTCGGTTAAGGGTACTCTTAATTTGGCCCATTTTTAGTATATCGCCAATTTGGTCGACAAACTTCCGCCTAGGACGTCCTTTTCCGACTCTTCCATTCACTTCTGCAACATATATTTGCTTTGTCAGTCTTTCCGCATTCATTCTTTCTACATGAACAAACCACCGAAGCATTCCTTTCTTAATCCTGGTCACCGCATCATCTTGCAAACCACACTCTTCTTTTATCACACAGTTTCTCACCCTGTCACTCAGATTCAGCCCTAACATACTCCTTAGCGACCGCATTTCTACTGCATTTATTCTACTCTCGTGCTTCTTCTGCCACACCCAACTTTCACTACCATACGTTATAGTAGGGACTAATACAGCACTGTGAATTGCCATACGTGCCTTTTTTCACACATTCTGACTTATTTTTACTTTTTATTTTTAATTCCCGACGTTTCGGGCGCTTTCCAGCACCCATGGTCACGGGGGACTGAGATGACTGACGTCCCGATGTCATTGTTAAACCCGGAGTACCTTCAGCTTTTTTTAATTATTGTTTATGGTCCGATCTATGCAAAATGAACTGACTATGTCCTGAGGTCTTGCAGTGGTATGCTTGGGTTTAGTTTTAATTTTATTGATTATAGGATCCCAAGCAGGTGGTAGTACCCAGCCTCCTTCTCTATTGAAATTAGGATGTTTTTTAATTTCAATAGCCTCACGTATCATCCTTGGTAGGAATCGGTGTTCTTTCGCGAGGATTTGTGGTCTATCAAATCTGATGTAATGGTTGGGGCCGTCTAGGATATGATCACAAACTGCAGACTTCCCGGAACGTTGATGCTTCACATCAGCTATATGTTCTTTTACGCGGGAACCCGCTGATGTGAAGCATCAACGTTCCGGGAAGTCTGCAGTTTGTGATCATATTATAGACGGCCCCAACCATTACATCAGATTTGATAGACCACAAATCCTCGCGAAAGAACACCGATTCCTACCAAGGATGATACGTGAGGCTATTGAAATTAAAAAACATCCTAAGTTCAATAGAGAAGGAGGCTGGGTACTACCACCTGCTTGGGATCCTATAATCAATAAAATTAAAACTAAACCCAAGCATACCACTGCAAGACCTCAGGACATAGTCAGTTCATTTTGCATAGATCGGACCATAAACAATAATTAAAAACGCTGAAGGTACTCCGGGTTTAACAATGACATCGGGACGTCAGTCATCTCAGTCCCCCGTGACCATGGGTGCTGGAAAGCGCCCGAAACGTCGGGAATTAAAAATAAAAAGTAAAAATAAACGCGATAAAATCCGTAAAAGTAGTTTTAATCATGTGCAATGTTCGCGTATACATTCTGACTTTTCACAATAGAGTGTAGAGCCCCATTTACTTTATTTCCTGCATTCACTCGTCGTTCAATATCCTTATCATATCTCCCATCCCTGCTGAATACACATCCCAAATATACGAACTCATCCACTTGCTCAATTAACTCTCCTTCTATTCTTATTTCACATACCGTTTTGCTTTCATCTCTTTCAAAAACCATCACTTTCGTCTTACTTGCGTTCACTTTCATTCCCCTTTCTTTTAATGACCTGTTCATTAATGTAACCATCATTTGCAACTCGGCCGCCGACGACGCAAGTATGACTTGATCATCGGCGTACAAAAGGCATTTGATGGTTAACTCACCCATTCTTAACCCGCATTCTTCAACTTTAAAATTTTCCAAACGGCTGTCCATAAATAGGTTGAACAGCCACGGGGAAGCTACACAGCCCTGTCTGACACCTTTATGGATGCCAAACCAGTCCGAGTAGACCCCGTTGATTCTAACACAAGCACTCGAGTCCCTATACAGAGACTTTAATGCCTATATCAAACCAGCGCTCAACCTAAATGCGTTCAGCGTTTGCCATAACACATCCCTGTCCACTCTGTCATAAGCCTTTTCCAAGTCCATGAACGCACAAAAAACTTTTTGGTTTTTCGCCAAAAATTTCTCCGCGATCATGCGCATGGAAAAGACTTGATCTGTACACCCCATTTCCTTTCTAAATCCCGCTTGCACATCCCAAATTTTTTCATCAGTTTCTTTCATCACTCTTTCAATTAGTACCTTAGCATACAGTTTTCCCACAATGCTAAGAAGGCTGATACCACGGTAGTATTTACAGTCCTGCTGCGACCCTTTTCCCTTATATATTGGGACTATCACGGCTTTGCACCAGTCTCCCGGTACCCGCTTTAGTTCCCAACATAAATTAAACAAGGTGTACAGCAGGCCTGCCACCACGTCCTCTCCAGCCCTTCGCATTTCGAGTGAAACTCTATCATATCCGGCTGCCTTACCTACTTTCATGCTTTTCATTGCTTTCATTATTTCATCTATACTTATCTCCCTATTTCTTTCATCTTCTTTCGGAATTTCTATTTCATTTAGTTCACACTTCTCCTCACTCATAAATACGCTTTCAAAATATTCCTTCCATCTCTTTAGACTAAACACTTCATCATTCAGGATACAGCCATTCTCGTCTCGTATCGCATCCAATCTAGGCTGTTTTGAAAGTCCCCTGGTATTTCTTACGAGTTTCCAGAACATTTTAATATTTGCCTGGAAGTTATCCGATATTCTTCTATCATTCTTATCCGTTCTTTCTTGCTTTTTCCTTTCAACTAATTCTTTTACTCTCTTATTTAAACGTTTAAACTCTGCCTTTTTTCTTTCATTCTCATCATTCTTACCGCCAGAATTACCAGCTTTGGTCGCTAGTAAATCTAGCCATGCTCTCTTCTTTGCTTCAACTTTCATACGTACCTCATCATCTCACCATAACGTATTGTCTTTCCTTTCATTCGTTCTCTTACTAACACCACATACTTCGGTAGCTGCATCCACTAAACCTTTCTTAACATTATGCCACACATTCTCCAAGTCTAACTCATTCACACACAATTCATCCAAATTACTTATATTTTCTCTCAGTCTGCATTTGTACTTGTCTTTCACATCTTCATCTTGTAACCTCTCAATTCTTATACGCTGTAACGCAGTGGTAGACACAGATGTCCTTTGCCGCCAACGTCTGAATAAACCCCTAATTCGGCATAAGACCAGGTAGTGGTCCGTCCCTACGTTGGACCCCCGGTAAACCCTTTTATCCACCACTGCGCTCCTCATTCTTTCATCCACAGTTATGAAATCTATCATGCTTCTATCATCACCTCTTTCCCAAGTATACATGTGAATCTTCTTATGACGAAAGAAGGCTTTCACCATTCTCATTTATACTTTCATCACCAAACGTTCCCAATATCCTTTCATAACCAAGCCTCCTCACCCCAACCCTTCCATTAAAATCTCCTAGCATAATAATATTTTCATTTCCCTTACACTTCATTAACACCATCCCTACCATTTCTATATCATACATCATATCGCATACTTCATCCATTTTATCATTCATTGCCCCACATACATTCAACGTAGCCAGACGGGCCTCTGCAATCCACTTTTCGCCTCACTGGGAGACAGAACGTGACGGGTGGCGAACCTCGTCGCCGGTTTTCCTCCCGGAGATTCTTCGCAACCCTGCCTCATTAAAGGGGCGCCGGGAACTCGGGGCCATTTCTTTTACTTTTTGCCTCATGGTGCGAAAACTAGGGTGTGGCATATTTTATGCCGCTACCACACGGCGAGTAGCCGAGTCTGTTCTTTCGGTTTTGTCGCTCTTTTAGCACCACCCGGGGGGAAATGTGTAGGGTGGGCCTAGGATTAGGTGGTCGAAACCTACGGACGCGAGGGACTTATCCGCCTTATCGTTCTATATCCTTATTAAAATAATTAAATCAATTTTTATACTAACCTATTTATAATTCATGATGACTATTATGTTAATCTTGCAAAAACTATCGCCATATGAAATTAAGAAGGTAAATAGTAAAAAATATTCTCTCTGTAAAATCAACGTAAACTAAACAAGTATCTCTCGTCCTAGGTACTTTCTGAAGAAGCTACTGAAGGCCCATGTGCTGTAGTCGCCTGTGGTCGGCGCGTTTTTATTTTACGCTTCGACGCAGTTAGCACTGAATTCAAGATAGCGCGCTCGCTCACAATTGACAGACCACCAAGTTCACTACTGCTCACGACTAAATGCTTGTTCCTCGCCGGGGAGAAGCCTCTTAAAGTGAAATTGCCCTCCGGCGCATTGGAAACCTTCGCAGTGGACGAACCGACCGTCGCTGCTGCCTTAAAAAGTCACTCTTCACCTAAAGCAATCATCCTTGTAAAAAACGAGCCCATTGAGCTCCTCATTTGTTTCGCGGAATGTGGCGTGTTCGTGGATGAAAACGGTAGGCGTACACGTAACGAAGACCCTAAATGGAGTTCGGCAGTACACGGTTGGGAGTTTGTGGCCCCCTTTCTTTATGCTGTAGGAACAGACAGAGTTACCATAATATACCTCAACGAAGAAGCATACAGAGCCCCGCCGTGTACCTGTGAAACGTCATCCACAACGTCCACTGCCTCTGAATGTTACGTGCCAGAAGTGTTCAATTACAAAGTGAATGAACCTGCCTTACTTGGAACAGCACCTAATGGAATAATTATAAGATCGAAGAGTGACGACGGTTATTCAGTTTCAATAGTAGACGGTCTCGCAGCATTTCGAAGCATAGGCGCCTCGGTTGAATCACTAGAAACAACTTCAGAGTCAAAAGGCTCTTCCACTGACTTGACGCTCTCATGCACTGACTTGTCACAACACGAACTGTCCAATGAAAGTGTGGAGGTGAATACAGGGTTTCTTGCCGATATAAGGAAAAGAGCGAAACAGCTTCGCAATGCAAATCGTAAGGGACAGTCTTCTGATGATGTGATCAAAGAAATTCTTACTACAGAAGTTGGACTGAAGCGGGTCTCATCTGGAAGGAAATCTCCAGCAGTAACTTCAGAGTTCGATTCCGATTCTGAAGGAAATTCCGATGAGAAAGGAACTGGCTCTACAAAAGGCACAGCTGATTTATGTGCTGAAATGTTTGCAAGGCAAGTGCGATTCAAATAGGATTGTGATACATAATATCCGCAACATTAACATGACTTACGTATTTGCTATATTATATTTAATTTAATACTATATCCTTTTACAGTTAATCATAATGAATAATATGGTGCATATCTGTACCTTGTTAAATTTTACTTACAAAAAAGATTTTGCTCAGTTGACTTCATATACTTTAATAAGTAATTGCAATAAAGTACTCTTATAATATATTTAAATAGCGCATCATTATGTAGTGATGAAGTCATCAGAAATTACAGTTTGTGTAAAGTTTTTTTTTTAATTTGTGTGCATTTTGATAGTATTAATTGTTTGAGTTTTGCTCAATACTTGTATTTATTTCTTAGTCATTTGTTAGTCCTTTAATTTTATTTATTACTTGAATATTTAAATGTTTCCGTTAGTTTTAGAATTCTTATAAATTTTGTAATTGACATATTTTTTCATAATTCTGTAATGTTGTTTTCATTGATCTTATATGGAATGACTTTTATCTAGGTGGTAGGACTTTTTGTCTATGATCCTTCTGGGTAGATGCCGCTCTCTTATCTAATCACTATGATCTGGTTTGAAGGGTATATAACGGGTGTAATTGGAAAGGCTTAGAAGCATTTCATCTTAAACCACACTGCGTCTGGTTCCTGCTTTTTTGAAGGTGTCTTAATCTAAATATCGCCTTATTTCAGATTTTTTCTTACGAATTAATTTTTAAGTCTGATAAGTATGAAGGTGGCTTGCCTATTTGAAATAAGAAATTCGTCACTATGTTTAATAATTTACTGTGATTTGATACAGCATATTAGTATGATGAATGTTTTAAGACTATACCAATAGAATAATTTTAATTGTAATTTATGGTAACTGATGTTATTGTTTATTATATTTTTTAAAATGAATGAATTGCGTTTCTTCTTTTACTGACACCATTAAGTAAACAATATTTGTCTTATTACAAAAAATAGTTTATAATTAATTATTTTACCATTTATATTAAACCAAAAAATATACAACATGTAACAAAAACCCTGTGGTTCCCGTTAAGTGTGTTATCAGAATCAGTATGCAAGCATATAGAAATGATATTTTATCGAAAAAAAAAAATAATTTTAATGAAAAAATTTTTTTTTTGCAAATTGTATGTGGTTTTATTTCCTCTCTCACACGAGTATCGGTAGTGCGGGGTCTTTGACAATCTTCTTACTCCTCGGCCGATGCAGAGATAATAAAACCACATACAATTTGCAAATCATTTTTTTTCATTAATATTTTATTAAATGTTTTTTTTTTAAATTATTTCCATATGCTTGGATACTGATTCTGATAATGCAGTTAACGGGAACCACAGGGTTTTTGTTACATGTCGTATATAATCACTAAAACATAGTGTTGCTACTACTACGTTTTAGTAGTGGTTATAGGTACTCATCTCCTCGCCGACTCTAAAACTAAAACGTAGTGTTTCAAGAAAATGGATAAATGATAAATGAAATCTAAAGTATGGCATTTGACTTCAAGTGTCAAGTTTTGCAACAAGTTTGTCATAACTTTAACCCAAGTTCAATAATATATAATAAAGCGATAGTCATCATCATCTGCATCAGGAGAGTTCACTGCTGGACATAGGCTTCTTTCCTACCTGATCCTCCCTGACTTGGCACAAGCATTATGTTTTGCATCCTGATTAACAATCGCCGTACCAGGTGTAAAATATTTGGAACGGCGTGAGGAGTTGCGATGGCAAGTCTCTGGCCATTTTTCTAAAACTCCTAAGAGCGAAGCCAGACAATGTGTTGCCGGTGCGTTGAGGTGCTAGTGTGGAGCGATGTTGTGCGGTGGCCAGCAGCACGAGCAGAGAGACGAGAAGGGGAACGACGAAGCGTTTCTACACTACGCTTTAAATATAATACTGACCTTACACAATACCGATTTACTGATACCAAGACGCTGCGGCATAGTAAGCAGCATTGCGACGATGGCGGCGCTACATGGGTGGCAGCCGGTGATTAATTCGAAATATATTTTGCATATTTCCATTTTAATAGCGCTCACTGCGTATAAGTGCCGTGACAAATAACTGTTTGTGTAATTTATATGATATTCGATTTATTTTATCTAAAATTTAAAGCACAATCATTTTATTTTATTGAACATTAATTTCTACCAAAATCACTGTCGCCAAACTCAACGAATGCAGACAGTAATTGTGTAACAGGTAAAAATATTTTGAAACGTTTTTCGTGATTCAATTTGAATACGAAATAAGTGTAAGATGTTATAACATATAACATCTTACACTTATTTCGTATTCAAATTGATGATGCGTAGTATATTTCTTTGAATCCAAAAAACAAATTGGACTTGATTGGTTATTCTGTTTATCAGCCCTAGGGGTAGGGATACTCGGAAACGCGTGTTCATCTACTCGCCCCAGACGGGCAGGATTATCGGAATCCGTATATAAACATACCAATAAAATATATAGAGGAGCATTTTTCAAAATAATGTGCGTGTATGCGTGTGTGCGCGTGAGTGTGTGCACATGCGTGTGCGCGTGCGCGAGAGTAATCAATGTTTTGTCAAATTTTTAATAAAATTAGTAGTGAAATTCGAATTTAATTGATTTATTAAATAAGGTTACTCATCGTTGCCGTCGTTTTTAAGTTTGGTAAAAAAAAACAATAATTAGGTGAATTATTATCTGGATCCAAGCAAACTGAACTAATCGAAAAAATCTTACCGCTACATGATTATAATCATAACAAATCCAATTTTTGCACACGTTGCATTTCATCATATCTATTAAATTCAAAGAATCACTTTTACAAAGGTGACAAATAAAAAAGCAAATTCTTCTACTTTTGATGCTAAGTGGTAACAATACTTTTACTCGACGCGTATTTTCTTTACGACATGTTTTCTCTCTAACATTCTTTGATGGTGGGTATTCTCCAGGCTTCAATGTACGGGACCCATTTCCTATTTGCAGCAGCGTTTGACGTCTTCAGCAGCCTTCAACGCTATAATCTTCATAACTAAATGAAATATTTTTATTATTTTATTTTAATTTTAATGCCGCGTGAGCAAATCTGTGGACAAAAGCTAATGTATTATTTTTGTATTTTTGGAATCAAATTTAATTTATTACTAGAGCTTTAAGCCTAAGCTTTCCTTATACTGAATGATATAATTTAATATAATAGTCAACAACACAATGCTGAACACACCTTTACGGTTACGTTAAGTAACAATCTCATTCCACTTATACATAACGTTACTTAGTGGACGTTACAAAGTGCTACCTCTAATTATAATAGTATTGATTTTATAATAAATAATATATCGAAATTGTCTTTCAAATTTTTTGAAAAATCTAGAAGCATGAAGGAGTAAAAAACTTATTACTTACTTGATAATGAAGGTTTCTTAATGGAACAATTTTTCTTACCTGCTAACCTCACTACACAAAGCAACAAACTGTGTTCAAAAATAAGTCAAAAGACCACATCTTTTTTGTAGGAGACGTGTAGCGTGTTGCCATTGTGTAAAAAATACACAGAATGATAGTTTATTTATGTTTCTAGTTGGTCTAATTGTCGTTACTTAGGTGGACAGTCCGCCTTGCTTAATTTTGAGTACAATATTAAAATTCACTTTATTTAATCGCATTTCATTATATAATTCATTAATTATAAAAAAGATTTCGTCTTATTAATCGAACTTTGAAATGATCATGGTCCGTGGTAGACATACCAAATTGTGTGTTTGTTTTAATGATTTTATCGTTTCGTTTTTTATTAAATTTAAATTGTTATTATAGTATAAAATAAAAATTCAAATAAGTAATTTAGTAGAAAAAAATGTTTCACTATTATTGGTGCTGTATCTGCTAAGCAATGTATTGTTAAAAAGAGTGGACACCACAATTTCGTCATAAACATTTTTTTTAATTGCCCACATACTTCTTGTTTGAAAAGTCACCTCTGAAATAAAAGGAGTGCTTCATAGGATTTGTGTTAGTAATTTCCTGGACATATTGCAGAATTTATAAATTACGTAATAATATTATTAAAAACGAGGAAGTTTTATTTGTATTATCATTACAGCCCTTCACAAATCCACTGCTGAACATCCCACGCCTCCCCCATAAAATGCCACAAAGCACGTTCCTGAGCCACCTGCATCCATTGACTTCCTACATGTCTTACCAGGTCGTCACTCCATCTAGTGGGGAGTCGCCCTACACTTCGCCTACCGGTACGAGGCTGCCACTCGAGAACCTTTTTTCCCCAAAGGTTATCGGTTCTTCGAGATATACGGCCGGCCCATTTCCACTTCGGCTTACTAATCCGTTGGGCTATGTCTGTCACTCTGATTCTACTATCTGGTTCTATCCTCATTCACGTCCTCATCACACGTATCACACGACACGTATTACATCACACCTGAGGATGCCTTGTGTAGAGGCGAAACATGTGTCGTATTATCGTCGATGGTGTGTCTTACCTGGAATAGTGGTATTGGAAGTAGTGGTGCCGGGAGTAGTGGTGTTGGGAGTAGTGGTGTTGGGAGTAGTAGTGCTGGAACGAGTGGTGACGAAGTTAGTGCATGCAATTGAGGGAGGGCGGGAGGTGCTCTTCAATCCAGGTAAGACACATCATTGTATTTAGTTAGCGGAGGGTTGCAAAGTAATTTATATTTTTATTCGGAAGTTAAAAATCATCATACCTAATTTAACACTAAATTGTGGCAAATTGTTGATGGAATTATTAAGCGTCTTGTTGCACGCCATAATTAATGCCCGGTATATGGCGGGTGATTATTAGCGCCATTTAGTATCAAGTAGCAGAAATAGGAGCGACCAAGATCTTACTAGAACTTTCCCACTACCGCCATCTAGTGTCGAGTGGCGAGGGCTTTCTGGAAGATTCTTTGCTAGAACTTTCGACATTCTACTCGAACATTCTAGATGTTTTCGGTGGAAAAGGTCCTATATAAAGTCGGTA